CTTTGGGAATCAGTTGTTTTCCCGTAGAAAAAAAGGAATTATAGAATCAGTGTTTTTGGTGGGGGGTTAAATTCTTTTCTTTTTTTTTTTTTTTAGGTTCTTCAAGTGGGGAAGTGATGATGTTAGGGATCTGAAATAGTTATGAACCAGATGAATGAATTAGTTGAATTTCATGATGAATCTCTTCAATTTCATTTCGTAAATTTGCTTATCCGCTCTTCAATTTTCACTTTCCCTGTTTTCCCCTGATTCATCTCACCCAATTTGGGATTAGGGTTTCGCCATAACCGCCGTAACTGGTGGCGGACGTAAGTGTATCGTCGGGATAAAACCAGAAGATTCCGATACACGCCAATGTGGCGGAGCGTTGCGTGAGTTCAAATCCCGGTTTGCTGCACGTGGGCAAGTGAGAAACCAACACGCTTGCTTTGTTCACAACGCCTCCATTGATTGGTAAACACCCAAAGCTTTTTTCTCTTTCTCCTTTTAACATGTTCAGCGTTGATTGACGGCATCAGTCCTCAAAATAATTTAGGTAATCAATCGTTTCTTCAAAATCGTCATAACAGTCGGGGGATGATGATTCTACTGTGAATCTTTGAACGTCTACTGTGAATGTTATGCTGCCTGCTCTTCAATTCTTGTGTATATTTGTTTGCTCCATTGACGTGATAATTACAAGAAGTCATCCATTTCGCTTGCTTTTGAGATGGCACCTCTTTGTCTGCATTTTTGTTTTTTTCCCCTTGTTTAAACTGGCATGCTTTCAACGTGCATTGATTTGGAACTATTTTTCTTTCTGAAACTTTTGCTCCAACATTGGGAAAACAGAAACCTTTACCAGAAGATTCATTGACCTAAGAATCTCATTAAAAGATCCCGCTTCTCTACTATTGAATTAAATGCTGTAGGGGAGCATAAATGTGGGTGAATATCCATCTATGTGGAGGATGCTGCTTTCTGATAGATTGCATGAACTGTTTAGGTGCAACAGCTTTAAAGAATGATTTAATGCATGGAACAGAGGATTTGCTAACAAATTCTAGCTTCTATAAACAAATGCTCCATTTTAAAACAAATCTAGTTTTGTTTGGCTCATCAGATTCTCTTGTTCATCATTTACTGCTCCACATTGTGAAACAGTATCAACATATCATGACAACAAAAACGATACTAAAAGGTTATGATACGAGACTAACTCGGCACGACCTTACAACCTAACTAAACATTTTATGATGATTTGTAACTCCTGTATTCTTAGGGTGAAATTTATTCAGAACTATCTGTTTTTGGATAACACATTAATAGCTGCATTACAATCCACACATTGGATGCTATCTAAAAAACTGTATGTAGCGTTGCTTACTGAAACAAAATGAACTCTCTGCTGTTGTGCTTGTTCACTGTTCCTAGCTTACTAGTTGTAGACGTAAAACGTGTTTATGTTCCATAGTGGACCCTACTCATGCTGAGCTCCAAGAAAAATACCAAGAGGTGTTGAAGATTCCAATTCAGGAGTTCTAGTGGGTTGCGGGACAGCAAGCAGAAACTTTGTGGGACCTTGTCGAATTCATGTAAAACATACTGCACTAGTTTAAAGCAAGTCGAAAAAGTTTTTGTCACGCATATCTTTGATCATTAGCAAATGCAGAAGAAATTTATTAATATCTCATGTATCCTGTGACTCTTGTCAAATTTTCCACAGCTAGTACCAGTTTCATGAGAAGGGATGTGAAGGGAGTTGGAAGCAGAGATCAAATCCTTGTTCATGCTATCATATACTTTGTTTTTTAGTGGTTGGATTAAATCAACATGGTTTAGAAATTGTTGCGTCTTACTTCTGAGTTCCACGCGCTACTTCTTCCAATAAATATCCCTGTAAACAATCGACACTGCAAATTTAGATGTACTTCAATGTAGCACCAATATAGTTAGCAGGACTTGTTGCTATCTCCTGCATGATTGCTTTTATGATTCAGACTGATCCGTCCACATAATCTAGTATACTTGCAGATGCAGATGAGTAATAATAGGACTACATGTTATTGTTTCAACTTTAACAGCATGGAAAATCTTATAGCTACTTTGTTGCCTAACATGCAAGCTTTTCTTTTCTGGATGATTAGATCTCTTCTTTCATTGCAAATGTCTTGTGCATTCTCTTATCTACATTCTCTTTGTTCGATATCATTTTTCCAACTTACTTCCTTCCAATTTTGCCTTTTTTTTTGTGTAATCTGAATAAAGTAAGGTGAACAATGAATTGCCACCTCCCCTGTTTTATAGCACTTATGCAAGAAAGGAGAGATTTAAATGTTGAATTAATTGTAGGCAGTTATCCTTGTTGCATATTTGGAGTAAGAATTATCAGTCTGGTATCTCAAGTGATGTTTACTATCTGAAGTGGATCTCGTGCAGCAGTAAGAGCCATTTCCTGATGTCATGGGTCCAAGTCGCTGGAAATAGCCTTGTACAGGAACATGAGGTAAGGCTGCCTCCGTCACATTCCTTGGAACTTCACAAACAGGAGTTTCTGTGAACTGTCTGCTCCATTTTTCTTTCCTTTGAAGTGGCAGGTTTCAGACAATGAATTGTAGAAACAACAAAAAAAACGAAGGTGAAACTCTTTTTTTTTTTTGGGGGGGGGAGGGGGACACTTAAATGATGGAACAGTTCTTTCGGGCAACTGAGTTAGCATTTTGGAATTTCACTTGTGTGAAATTGAAAAGCTAAAATTTCTTACACGGAACTGCTGTAAAACTTAAATGATCATATTCTTTTGCTTCATTCTTCTTCATATCATGTTCGTTTCCATAGTTGGGTATTATTTCATTGTGAATAATAGCAGCTACAGTTGTTATGAATGTTGGGTGTTAAACTCATTTGTAACCTAAGTGATTTCCTTTTCTGCTGTCCTCTTTTCGACAGTAGCTGGATAGCAGTTAGTAATCGAGAACTTATTTCTTTCCCCAGATACATACTATATATACATATATAATTTCGAAATTGACTCCCTAGAAAAAAGATCTTTATTTCCAAATTGAATAAGCATACTCTTGGCAGCTGTGGATGCTGCTTTTAAAGTGGTTAATGAGCCATAGCCTCTTTATTCATGATAAAACTAGATGTTCATGCTTTGTAAATCAAAGCTTTGGATGAATGTGAACTCTTGACATTTTAGAAGCGTTATTTATTTATTTTTTGGTTGAAAAGGGTTAATGATTCAAATTTCCTTGTTGCTCTGATAGTTATAGTGATACAGATGAACAGATTGCTATGTTGAATGTGAATTGTAAAATGTATTCATTTTCTCAATCTCTCTCCTACTCTATTGCACAGACGCATTGTGTGTGAATACTAGTATTTGTCAGCTTCCTTGGGTTCTATGTTCATATGTTCTTTATTTGCCGAGATAGATAATCTGGAAGTTGAATCAAATGCCTTCTCTTTTCTTAACCTTTTGTTTTATACATGAGGAGTATCTATGTGGTTGTGGTCGAGATGACATTTGTGCTTCTGTTGACAGCCTAAGCCAAACGTAATACTAGTTAGCTGGCCTGGTGTAAAATAGAAAGTTCGTAAATGTCTGAGATTTGATGGAGTTTGAAAGGTATCAATTTAAGTCAATAAAGTTTTAACAAGTTAGTTCAAAACCTGGATATTGTGTTAAAAAAACCCATTGTTTCCAGTGCTTTCTCTTTTCATTTATACTCATGAAAATTTATGTGATGAATCAGGATAACTTGGTAGGTTGCATGAGACTTCACCAATGACTAATTTGTGACGTGATGCATTTCTCTCCTGATATGGTTTTTTTCATTGTGGATACCTTCCACGAAAGAAGTTGTTACCTAAATCTGCAGAATGATACGATTGTTGTATAATTAGCCTCTTTGATTCGAGAAATCTTCATTCTTCTAGGATATTTTTTCAGAAGACCCTTTGCTCCATAATTTACGAGGTTATCTCAGTTGAGGAACTGTGAAGGGGTAAAGTTTTCGTATTGTTATGTGCTTGAACAGCCTAAAGGTGCTTTTTACAATCATCCCTGCAACCTAAAGCTTATCTAAGTGGGTTTTCTTGCCGTTGTTCATATAATATGCAAGTGAAAAGAGATCAGCTCATCCACGAGAGATACTGGATTTTTGCAACAGTTATGCACTTTCACTTAATTCTCATAGTAATGGCTGTTTGTAAAAATAGAGCACAAATGTTTTAGGAATCTTTCACATATTTCCTTTCTGGAAAGCACTCTTCAGTCTTCTCAAGGATATCACGAGTCTGATTTGTGATATTCGTTCTATTTGTGGTTATGGTATTCCTTTTTGTGGTATCGGTCTACATCAAATGATATGGTGTATTTCAAGATGAGATGAAAACAAGAAATCAGTTGTCTAGTGATCACCACCTAGCATTTCTTTGCAGGGTGCTTTAAAGCACTGATGGAAGTCCAGGAGAAATCACAGGGCAGATCGCAGGATGACGCAGGAGAATGGGTAATACTGGGTAGGATACCGAATGGCATGGCATATTGCTCAAGTTTGGGAGTTGCAAGAAGCACCAACAGACGTTTTTATTTTTAGTTCACCTAAAAGACAAGCTGAAAGGGGATCAAAGTGTCTCATCATAGCAACTTGGACAAAAGACAGAGGGTTGGCACACACAAGGTGATGGATTCTCATTTCCTTTTATCTCAAAATGATTAATGATCGCTTGTATATTTGGTATCAGGAACTTGGACTTAAAACTGGAAATTTGTAGTTCTGTTCTCTGACTCCTCACAAAGCAAGAATGTCCAATGGTCACAAAATTTTCCTTTTCTTTCCCTTCTTTTTTCTTTTGCGAAATTTGAATATTTCGAAAGAGTTTGCAATTAAATACCATAAAAAGAGAATTACATGTCAGCTTTATTCCTGATGTACATGAGATAATTGTTTGCTTGATTCCGAATGCAGCCAAATGAAAATTCTCTTGATTAAGAAACTGGGACTGGATTAAACTCAAAACCTCTCAACTTTCTGGATGGAAAACTTCAGCTCTTTTTGTATGTTTAATCGTGAAGGTGATAAAACTATGTCTTTCCAAATGGACCCTTTCTCATAAGCTGGATGTGGACGTTTGTAGAGCTCATAAATGGTGTCTGCTTCCTCATTTAACTTGCCTACTACTTTTAAACAATTTATCTCCTCTGGGTCTACCAATAGGGTCTTGTCTTTGTCTTTCCACCCTATCAACTTCAGCAATAAGAAGCTTTGTTAGCATGGCAAAATCTGTTTAGCAGAGTACATATGCAAAACATGTGAAAATGTTTTAAGTAGTTTTTAGTCATTAGTAAATAGTACCTTTGGTGGTCCTTCCAACGCATTTGTGCAATATAATCTGGCATTATCTACAAGATGGCAGTAGGTTGTGAATGCATCTGCGAATCTTTTGTGTGATCTTAGTTGTGATTGCACCCTGACTGCTCTTCTACACATGATAGCTCGCCTAGAAGTTTAACACAGTGAAGAAGGTGAGAAATGCTAAGTTTGAAGTGTTCTATACACAGAGCTATTTTCTGTAGGATGGAAAGAAATATCTTATTCCTGTTTAGCCTTGTACCAATAAACTGAAAAATAAGGTTCTGGCTTAATGTTCCAATAGGTTCTAGATTTCTGGAACTTCGGTTGTGGAGACATTCTTTTTGGATTTCATAGAGCAGATCGTTTGACCTTTTTAAGCAACTTAGAAAATTAACTAAACTTACTTAGAATGCCATTTTTTTTCCCACTTTATTGGTTGGATTGCAAGAATCACAGGAAAGATGATTCACATACCTTATACCTCTAACAACAGCCAAATATGCATCACAAACTACTCCCACCAACTCTATTCTGTATGGCCTTCTCTTTTTTGTTCCATTGTTTTCTTGTTCTTCATCAATCTGTTCCCAGTACTTTTCAGTCACCACTCCATCTTCACCAACCTTGTAACCTTCTCCCATTCGGTAACGTCGTCGATGAACATTTCTGGCCATAGTTATTGTCTGTACGACAAAGGGTACCCATGAGAGTGTGCCGTCCATTATCACATCACGGCCTTCATTGAGGGCCGTCACCAGGAGGGATGATGCTGCATCTGTAGAAGATTGGTGCACCTGTGGAAACAAAGTGAACAGCTCTTAGCTACCTATTGCACTGTTCAGCTCGTACGATGCTGTATCTCTATCTTGGTGTATGTGATCAAACATATTTCCAGCAGGAACAATTTTCTTCTGGAGATCACAGGTATGTTTATATAATCAACAGGCATCATGAACTGCATCATTTTTTTGCGATTTGGATACTAAACTACTGATTCTCCGAGTTTCCATTTTCTTTTAAGAAGTATTGTCAGAATTTTTGGGTTTTTTTTTAATTTTTAATTTTTTTTTTTTTTTTTTAAATTCAACTAAATATAACATTCTTAGCCTTGTCGGTTTCATTCACCAAAAGAGGTTTATTTTTTCCCCTAATAAACTTTGTAGAAACCAGATGGCAATTAATGAATTTGATTTGCATACACTTTCTATAAAGTAACTTGAAGGCTCTTGTACAATTTGTCAATTTCATAAAATTCAGATATCATGCCTTATGAACTACTTCTCATCTAGATATTACGCCTGTTGGGGAACTGGGGGATGTTGGTGGAAATAGTATGAAAGAAGCTTGTCAAATGGACTCAGGATTTAAAATACTGTATGTTGGTTAATAAGACAGGCACAGATAGTTGGCTCAGTGGTTCATAATATTGTAGTATTATGAAACTTGGCCTAGTCTTAGAAATTAAAACAAGGTGTAGTGATGCAAAAAAAGCAGAAATACCAGCTCAGCAGTTTGAAGCATGTCATGATGCCCACTAGAACTTAGGGCCTTGTAGATGACATCTGACTCCTTGAATGCATCTGCTTCTATTACTACAGCATTTCCTTGCGCGCCTACCCAGAAAGGTCTGCACACAATTTTGCATTAGGCACAATCAGGAAACCATCTCAAGCCATGAGTAAATTCATCAATTTTGCTTAAATTGAAATTGAATACAATGTGAACTGCTCTTGCCTCTTGTTTACAGCCTACATATATCATTACTTTTCTTTCATTTCATTTATACAGGTGACAGTTTTTTTTTTCTGCTTACTCTTTCAGGATGTCTTTTAGCACTGTACTCTTTCCAGCACCCATCCCTCCACCCATAAGGAGTAGGACTGGACTTCTATCTTTGTGAGCCATAGGAACCATCACATCTGTACATTGTGAATCATCAGCAGAGACTAATCCAATGGCTTTCATCTCCTCCACCAATGTTGTAAACACTCTTGCCACTTTCAAATTCTTGGTTACTCTTTCAAATCTCTGTTCCCTTCAATATCAAAGACATGAACAGAGACATTGGAAATGAAATGGTTCAGTACCACATGTGTGGCGTGTCAACCATTTTCATCTTTCGAATGATAAGAGGTAAGAGTGCATTCTGATCATGGAGATTTCATCATCATGTATGCATTCGGATTTCTTATGAATCAGCTTCATTTCAAATGCTGCAGGTCCTTTGCAATAATAACTGAATGTGTGTATTTAGTTTACAAGAAACAGGGCTCCAATGCTGTTTTTAAGGGATCATATCATACATGCTATTCCTGGTTCACTTAAGTGTAAGAAGAAATTGTGCCTATGGAGGTGTACATTGGGGCTGATAAAACCTACCTTGTTGCAGCCATGACAATGCTCTTAAGCTTCTTCTTTGGCTCTGATTCAGCAGCACTGAGGACCTGCAGCAGTAACAGACATACTAACGCATTCCATTGACAACGAAGTTAACTTCAATTTCCTACCAATGTCTTCCAGGTGAACAACATTTTTATAGATCTTGATTACCTGACTCATCATATAGGGAGCTTGGCGCCAATGAAAAGCAAAGTAACTCAGAATGCACCGCTCGAACTCTTCCACCAGCTTGATAAATAGGGAATCGGCTTCTTGTTCATGGGCAAAGAAGTTATAGATATCTTCCTCACATCCTTCTGCTTTCCTGATGTATTCAGAAGCTAATTTGCATAGAGTTGGACACTGTTTTTTATCTGCAAATCCCATTTGTCTAGCTGCAACAAAACACAGTTTCATCCATGCATCCCATGCACGTATACATAACATGTTCATGTAAACATCGATCGATATTCTCATCAATGATCGAAATTTTGTTTCCAAACACATTGATTACCTACGTAATGAGAGAATTTCTCTAGCTTAATAACTTGGCCAGAGTCTGACACTTTGATTCGGGGTATGATCCTGTTGTCTTTAATTTTCTTCAGGCGAATGTGCACTGCTGCAGCGAATATCAGCCCGACAGAAGAAGCAATCAGGATCTGAACATACGTTGTTTTGGCACTTGCATTGTGATCTGATGAGAACAAATTTTTCAACAGGCCATTAATACACAAATTGGATCAGTTTGTAAAGAACGACATAAAACCAGGAACAAGATGAATCTGTTATATACAAAGAAACAATTACAGTTTTTGTCTTACCTTTCGACATTTCTTTTTTGTCATCAAAAAGGAAACCGAGAGAGACGATTGGCTTAAGACTCCAGATCGGCATGAATGTTTGGTAAACAAAAGGGGAAAAAAATATGCAGAATTTTCGATGATCTTGCATTAGCTGCTGCAGATTAATCGTTATTGTTGTGACTAATACCTTCTTTGGCAGCTGAACACGTGTTCAAAATTGCCATGAATTTTCATTTCTTTCATTTTGTAACTAAATAATAATGCAAAGCGTATTCATTAGAGAAAATGACACCTTATTTTTTCTTTACTCAAGCCAAGATGTGATAGTGTGACTTTCTTGTTCCTTCAATTGAGATCTTGAATGGCGATGGTTAAAGTTTTGGTTTCCATTTCAAAGAGTTAGTTGCTTTAAATAATCGCTAGTGATAATTGATTTCATTTGACCTCAACTTTATTCTAGTAAACTCATTTTAATCAAATCAGACATTAAAAAAAAACACTTTATTCTAGTAAACTCTTTTTTTTTTAATCAAATCAGACATTAAAATTTTTTTTTTCTAGTAAACTCTTCTTAATCAAATAAGAGATTAATGCTTATTTGGACGTCATCTTATATTTCATTTTGCCACTTAAAAGTGGAAAGTATTTCAAGTTGAAAACTAAATGGGAAATGAAAATGTTGTTTGGATGGTATTTTAAGCAAAAAGTTGTTTGGATGTTGGTTTTGAAAAAAATATTTTGAACTACATTTTGAAAATATCAAGTACGAGTCATCACTAAACAATTAAATAATGTCAATTATAGTCACTGTAAAAAAGAACTTTTCTAAAAACAATCACTCAATAACGGAATCCTGCCAAATTTGTCACTAATATGGTCATTACACTAACAAAAAGTATTTCAAGTTGGAATTTAAAATGTTAATTAGAAAGTTGTTTGGATGATGTTTTCTTTCCAATTGGGTTTTGTATTTAAGAGGTAAAATGAGTTAAAATGTAAAATGAGTGCTTGTCCAAACAAACACATTCGTGTGGAGCGCCAACATTCAAGTTCAAAAGCAGCTGGTACTTATAACTCAACAGCCTCAGTTCAACTGTTGGATAATCTACATCTCTACAATATATAAAGGGAGAGTTTGACCGGGAGGGGCCTGTTTAGGTCCGGTGACCCGTCTGATTTTTGACACATGTTCTTGTTCTACTGGAAGACTGATTGTCATGTAGCCCTCCACTGCTCCTTTCGGGTGTCTCTCTGTGTTCTTTCCCCATCACAAGCCAGACATAGCACACCAAAGGCATAACTGGACGTCTTCGGTTTCTCGACTAAAAAATTATCCTACACTTCTTCTTGCACAGAACAGGAGGCCGTCCTTCCAAAATTGAAGTCTCTTTCTTCCATTAGGTAAGATGTGTGTTTGTCATATTTCCGGTTGATCTGTGAGGGTCATTGGATGTTTAGAGATTTGTATAATTCGGGTAACGTGAAATTTTTTTTGCTGTGTTATTTCTACAAATCCGTTATTTTCTTCACATTCCTGCTCTGCTAAGGCTCTGTCAAATTGACGTTTTGAGCTTTTGTGTGTGATTGTTGTAATTCTATCGAATAAGGTGGAGTGGGTTTAATGGAATTAGTTTTAGGGTACTATTTAATGAAGAAAAACTCCAAAATTGAATATGGAATTGTCGATTATTTTCACGTGAAATATAGCCTTTGGGTACTTAAAGTCTCACGTGTTCCAAACATAATCCTGAGTTTGCACATAAAGTGCTTGAATTTTTTTCTTCAAAGAATATAATAAGGACATCACATTAGTCTCTGTGTTTGTGTGCTATCTGTTTAATTATTTGTTTCTACTAAAACTGAGTTTGCTTCTTTTATACATTATTCCCATTAACTCTTTCTACTATTAGTTTACCAGAAATTCTATTTTTTGAGTATAGTTTGTTTTATTTACCAAATGAGTTGACATAGTTTCTGGCTTTTCAGATACTAAGTTAGCTAAACGAATGAGTTGTTAAAAGGTCATGTAGTATTGGAACTGAATTCTATGTCTCTCTCTCTCATGTCTGTGTGTGGTTTTTCTATAGTTTTCTTTCACTTTAGAGAATCTAAGCACTGGGAGATTTCATATTGTTGCAAGTGTGTTCTATTCCATCCGGAGTACGATGTCTACTTTTCCAAGGCTCTGTAGCCTTGAGTCAGGAGGAACAATTTAGTATCTACGATGTATTGTTGGCTGAATTAATTGAAACAAAATCCAAGTTCCAATGACAAGGTTATGACATCTCCAAAACTAATTAATTAATTGTAAAAGAAAGTCCGTTTTAAACTTTTAGTTGCAGCCATGGAAAAAAGCAAGCCGAAGGATTTCAGAGAGCCAGAGGCATTGAGCTTTCTTAAAGAGATACTACATTTGGAAACATTTTGCTTTAATGAATGCAACCACTAATTTTATACGCCATTTTTATGCGCCTGATTAACCATTAAATTTAACAAAGGGATTCTGACTGATGATGAGGATTGGTGAGGTAATGTCTCTTGAAGCCAGAGTAGCTATAGTTTTTCTGAACACTAATGCTCCTGCGCTTCTCACTCTCTTGCTTGCTCACTCACTCGCCTACAGGAATAGAATTGCTGCTTATGCAAAAAAACTTTGTTGCTGATGCGGCACTACTAAGGATAATTTACTTAGTATCTGCATGCCTGCCTATTCAGTTATTAAAAGGAGACCCACAGTCTTGATATCGTACCCCAGCTGGAACTGTAGGAGGATGCGTGCAGACCATAAAATGATCTCTAGTTTCTTGATGGACAGCCTAAACGTCAAGGTTTGTCTCGGTGTATGTATCTTCCTTTTAGTGAATGAAATGAATAATGCTGTAACATTCACGACAGATCGAAAGGAATCACTTGGAGAAGTTGCTACTATTCCCTCCCCCAAAAAAAAATAAAAAGAAAAAAAGATAAAATTCTTTTATTCAAATGAATATGACGATGAAGTCATGTTTTTCTACGTCAATGTAGTCTTCTGGAAGGCATGCTCTTATTGTTTTGCAAAATGTAGCTTAGAAGTGTACATTGTGTTAGTTTAAAAGCATTGTGAAAGCATGACTTCACTTAATACTATTGATGAGTTTTCCTGGCTTCATAATCTCGGATGGGGAAGACATTGAAAGGATTACCACTTCATTGAAGTCAATATAGTGGTTAGAATTGATGAGGTCAAGGGTTCAATTGTGTCGGTTACTGAAATTTTGCTGTGATTATGATCAAAGGGGCTGGCAAGGCATGCAAAAGATTACTAGGAGTACTCCAGCTTTTATTGGTATTGATTTGCAAAATCAGATAATGAAAGATTGACAGAGAAGTTGGTTAAAGTCAAGCTCAATTGATTTCTATCAAGTGGAAGAAGGGAGAAGCCGACCTATACCGCTAGTCAATGAACATAATTGTTGTTGAAAATGCAGAATTGTAGTTTCTACAAACTATTGTATCTTATTTATGTCAACAAATTTATTACTAGATTGAAAACAGTTATATTTTGTGTTAAAATACTCCCTTTCCTTTTACTAAGGACTTCACATAATTTATTGAATACTATTTTCGTTAATTAAAGCTTTCCTATTTACCAATATATGAGAAAAATACTGGGCTACCACTCTCCTTGGCTGCACAACGTGCAGCTCCTTCCCTAGTTAAAAGAAATAGACAAGTTAGCCCATGCATCAAATTTGGGCTGGACTATAGAACCTTAAACTTGGGCTTGAGAAGGTGAAGCCCAATTCTGATCTGTAGACTTCTTACAGTCTTCTTCTTCTCCCGTCCATCTCAGAAATCCCAAAGGTTTTTTTTTTTTTTTTTTTAGCCTTCGAGCTGTTGAAGGAATGCAGTGAAAATGGTGCGGAAATCTTCGGTTCGTTTTGCTGCTTCTGCGGCTGCTTCAGCAATTTCAAGAACCGTTCAAAGAGGTGAGCTTTCAAGTCTTTTCATGAAAGCATCAAAGCCCAACTCCTCTAATGTAACTTCAGAAAATTCAACCTCACTTGGACAATTCCTGAAAACGAACTGTAAAAGTGGCAAAATTACCGTAGATGATGCATTGAACCACTTTGATCGCATGATTCGAATTCATCCCCCTCCTCCCATGTCATCATTCAATATGTTGTTAGGTTCCGTTGCTAAAAGTAAGCATTATAGTCATGTTATCTGTATGTATCATAGGATGATGGAAGTCAATTTGAAACCTGATTACATTGGGCTGAACATTTTGCTTAATTGTTACTGTAATTTGAAAAGGGTTAGTCTTGGTTTTGCTGTGTTGGGGCTTATATGTAAGAAGGGGTACGTTCCAAATATTGTTACTTATACTTCTTTGATCAAGGGAATGGGTTTAGAGGGTAAGATTGATGAAGCAGTTGAGTTGTTCAGAACAATTATTCGATTGGGCTGGCGGCCTAATGTAAAAACTTGGGGAACTTTGTTTAATGGGTTATGCAGGAATGGGTATTCGGAGAGAGCCCTTGAGTTGCATAGAGAAATGGGAAGTGGGGCTGCTGTTCCAGGGATAAAGTATGAGATTAATTTAGTTTGCTATAGCTGTCTCATTGATGGTCTTTGTAAAGTAGGGCAGGTTGATAAGGCTATGGAACTGTTTAAGGAGATGGTTGGGAAAAGGATTTCTCCAGACGTGGTTGTGTATACCTCCTTGATCAATGGCTTTTGTGATGCTGGGATGTGGGAGGAAGGGAAGGTTTTGTTTATTGAAATGGTGGATCTCGGACTTCGTCCCAATGTCATAACATTTAACATCTTGATAGATGCACTCTGCAAGGAAGGAAAGGTGGAAGAGGCACGGGGGTTGTTGGATATGATGATTACCCGGGGTGAAAAGCCTGATTCTTTTACATTTAACACTTTGATGAATGGACTTTGCTTGGAAGGTAGGATTGATGATGCCAGGGAGTTGTTTGTTTCAATGGCTGCTGAGGGCCATGAATGTGATATCATAAGCTACAATGTGTTGATGACTGGATATTTAAAGTGCAGAAGAACTGATGAAGCCACGAGGTTGTACGGAGAGATGTTAAGGAAGGGGTATAAGCCAACGATTATCACATTTAACTCTTTGCTAACTGGTCTTTTTCAAAATGGCAAGGTTAAGGATGCACGGAAATATTTGGCTGATATGCAAGTTCATGATATTGAGCCTGATCCTGCTACCTTTAACATATTACTGGATGGATTTTGCAAGAACAATTGCCTCGCTGAGGCCTTAGAGTTGTTTCACAATCTGGAGAAAAGAGGAAATGAACTCCAAGTTGACACTTTCAATATCGTGCTGGATGGATTATGTAAAGAAGGAAAGCTTGAGGCTGCTGTTAAACTATTTGAAACATTGTCTCGGAAAGGTTTGGTGCCAAGTGTAATTACATACACAATGATGATCAATGGGTTCTGCAGCCATGGTTTATTGGAAGAGGCGAATAATATGTTTTTGGAGATGGAGAAGAAGGGTTGTACTCCTAATTTGGTCACTTTCAACACTCTGATGCGAGGTTTCTGCAGAGCTAATGAGATACTAAAAGTGATTGAACTTCTCCAGAAAATGGCTGAGAGAAAGTTGTCCCCAGATGAATCTACATTTTCTGTGGTGATAGATTTGCTATCCAAGGATAACAGATATAAGGAATATCTGAATTTGATACCCGCTTTTCCCATGAGGGACTGACTCGACATAGCAGACTAAAAGCTTTTCATATGCAGTCTTACAGGAATAGTATTTGAGAGAACTTGGTTCATCTCAGATGGTCACTTTAATTATTAAGGAGCACTGAAGCACATAAGTTTGTATCTACGGATTATTGGTCAGAAAATTGATTTGTGAAATATTTATCAATAATGTGTACTGGTCCAGCTTCAAGATCGGTGACATATGTTCTTAAGGATACATTAAGCATGCACATATTTGGTCTTTCTTTATAACCCCATGGACCAAGGTGAAGAAAAGATGTTTGCAATCTGGTCGAAGTTTTCACCAATCTGTTGGCATGGAGCTTGATGGCAACTCTCATATGCAGTACTAGACTCGAGTTGATCGACTAGGGAGCTGTTCACTTTGTGGCCTAAACCTCTGAGGTTTGAGATTGCTACGCATGTCCTTGCAAATGTTTTGGTTCATCCTATTCTTAAGTACCAAGAACCAGACTTTTTTGTTTTGTTTTCCTAGTCATGCAGGTTGGGAATAAATGTGGACCAGGGCTCTACTTTTACAATTTGATGAAGACCGGAGTACGATCCGTGAAAGCCACAGCCATAATTTGATGTCCTGCAGTATAACAGAAACAACTGGAGAATTGATTTCAGTACCTGCAGACAAGATTATGCTTTTAATTAAGCAGGTAAAGTCTTTCTCTTTTTGCTGAATTTAAGCATTTAGTTACATAATCCCGGTGAGTAATTAAATTTGATTAAGTCCCAGGTGTTGTGATTAGTACAATTACTCAATTACTAAGTCTATCGCAAGCTGGATTTTATCGATTTGATTTGGATAATTGTTAAGACTTTTGAGTTTGGAGCAAGACCCATTAGCAGAAAATTTATATCTAAAGGGAAAAATATATAGCAAGTAAATCAACATATAAATTTCCAGCAGATCATACACACACACATGAATGAACATACAAATTTAACATGCATTCATCAACAGAACTTCAGAAATTAATCTAATCATCAAAGTTCCATGATTGCTGCTGTAGAGACGCAAGAAGGCTAGCTTATGGAGGAGATTCATTTGCCTTTCTTCTTCTAGGATGATGCCTACAAACTGTCATCCAAGAACTTAAAATCAAGCAAGTCTGCTGGATAGCTTTGATTGATCATGACTGGGTTTGGTTTATTCCCTCCTAGTTGAGGGGAATGAAGCCTGGTCCGAAATCACCCGTGGACATGCTCTCTTGAGCTTCTTGTCACAAGGATTTCGAGCCAGACGACATTCACCTCAACAATCACGAAGGGGTTGAAACATCCATACCTAAATTATGGAGCAACAAGATCGTGTGGACTATGAACAGAATAAATGATGGTATGCACTAGTTCTTTTTATTTATCCTTTGCATTGTTTCCATGGGGTGCTTTTTATGTGCCAAGGGAGACGAGAATCTTCATCAGTCATATGACATGGACTCTTGCTTTCTATGCCACCATCCCCCCACACACACACACACACACACACACACGTTTCCCTCGTAGGGCTATGATTTTTTCAGGTGTCTTCTTAATTCATTGATAAAGCATACTCCCTTTGTCCCGAAATTATTGTCCAGTTTGGATTTTTACTTTAACTGGACAATAATTTTGGGACGGATATATAATATAGATTTACATATACAGATATAGTTCCTCTTTTTATATTGTAGATTAATATAGATGAAACTTTTGCACCTTTCTCGACTGATAAGATTAGATTTTGCTATACATAGACACGTATAGTGTCTTTGATTCATCCCATTCTAATTATAATCAAGTCAACCTGAAGAGTGCATGCAACTAATATATAATTGTAACTTTTTTTCAGCTGGTGCATAGATCAGAAGACCTAATTCCATACCTTTCACTAGCCTTTATGCGCTCTAATTTGCTGCTAATATAGAAGATTCCCTTCCAGTCATTTCCTTCATTGACTGCAAGTGTATCACTACTATTGTCATTGGCTTCACGATCACATAGTCAACGCTTATAAAGGTACAACCAAAAACTCTTGCTACTTTACAAAGAGTACATGATTCCATATTCTATTCCTGGCGTACTACCCAGTTATGTCACTAATGAATGTAATCTATGTTAGAACTTAGAAGCAAAGGAGTATAATATTTTCAAGTCAAAAAGTCACATGTAGTATGTGTGCGTAATTCATTACTTGTCTTTATCTACGGAAATACTAGAACGCTTTTATTGTTGAAGAACCTTAGCGCATGATGTTTTAATTTGCTTTTCAAGGTTGACTTGATTTAATATGAAAGATGGATATTTAATGTTTATATTCTCATCTCTCAAGTATTAAAGGATATGCCTTTTGCTTCCCACTAGGTTAAAGGGAAGGTGCAAGTTAGAAAGAACCTGAATTTGATGATGAGCATCTGCAGAGCTTCAACTGCTACTGATGCCAAGCTTAAAGTGCAAGCTTTTACTGTCTACGGGCTTCGTCATTAACCATGCCCCTGCTATTAGGTGTTATGTTTCATTAACCAGTCATTTACTTGAGTTTGGTGTTTTGCTTTCGAAATTTCTGATATCATTTACGCAATTTGTGCATGATAATTTTGATTTTTGATAATGGGAACGAGGGGGTAATTTCTGATATCAAAGGATATTTCCCTCAACCCTGGCTCCCACAGTTCCATAAAGCTGGAAAATGTCATTTTTTACATCAAACTTTTTGAAGGGAAAGCTGCTGATCAATATTCTTGGAGAATAATATCCCCTGCAACCGATTTTGGGTGATAAGTTTCTTAATAAAGCAATGCAAAAGAAATCAGTCCACTTATGTTAATTGGCATTTTCTTTTGTTGGGAACTTTTTCATTTTACTGAGAATCACTAGTTTGGAGACAAGTAAACATCTAATACTAATACCGGACGATGGACATGAATGAGAGTATTCGCTCTGAAATCAAATATCAACATCAATATAATGCGAGAATCATCATTACCATTATCATTCAGCGAGCATTATTATTATTTTTACTATCGTTTATTCGTATTTCTTACCTTTTCTTAATACCCACGTGTATGAATGGGAGATCTGTAAGTAAGAAAGGATTGTGATTTATTTTTCTTTATTTTTTTTTTCTTGTTTTTGAAAACAATGTTCATTGGAATTTTGACCCTTTGTGCAAAAAAGAAAAATAAATGAAAAGAAAAAAAATTTTTAAAAAAAGAAAAAACAAGAACTCCTGTGGAATTATACTTCATTGTAATTTGTAACAATCATAGGCCCAAGACAATCCCTATAAGGTTAGAAAAGTCCATTGGGTTTGTGAAATAAATAGTCCAACTGCATGTACCGAAAGATGGACGGCGATTATACGAATATTAGGTAAATAAAGGGACCGAAGAACAATTATCCAAAAAAGTGGTTCTTCAATTCGATTTCTCTTAAAAACCTAGTTCATCAAGATAATAAACACTCATCGTCTTCCCCCCAAATCCTCCCACTTCGCAAACTCTTCTCTCTGCAACTGGACGATTCTTTTTTGCGAAACTCCTCTGTAAGTAGTTTTCTTCAGCTTAATTGTTCGTTTGCTGTTGTTTTCGTTCTGTCAGTGTGTAAGCGTGGACGCGTGGTACTCGGTCCTGATTTTTCTTTGCAGTTTTTCATTAGTATGTAGGGTTTTCTTGCTTGTCTACTTCAGTTATGGAGTTTCTTTTTTTTTTCCCTAGAGTTTTAGCTCTCAGTTGTTTCCTAGTTAATTACCAGCTTCACAATTTATTGTGTTCCTCGTTTTAGTTACTACTATGGGTTTTTTTTTTTTGGGGGGTTGTTAATGCATTAACGTGACTGTTCTCTTGAAATCGTCCGCTACTTTTATTTTTTAATTAATACGACGATTACTGTTATGTTCTTTTCTTATGTGAATTTAGAGTTCTTTTTTTTTTTTCTCTTCGGTTAGAAGGGGGGTTATTAGGGAGGTGTAGATTCTAAAATAAGTCTGCGATTAAACTTTATGGAGTATCCCGTTTAGAGGATTTTACTTTTAATTGTTAGATACCGTTTTGCATCGTCGTTCTGAAGTTTATGATTTATTATGCATTCTTTGTTTGAAACTTAAAGTTTTTGGAACTTTTATTTTAAGACTCTTATGCTTGAGTGGTTTCATCTAATTTGCTTGATTGTGTTTTATTTGAAGCAAATGGCTGATGAGAATTTTGGGGAACCTGATGTGGTTCATGAACAAGCTCTAGACACAGATAATGTGCAAGAACTAGCTGATGTGCAAGAACCAGCCGATCTGGAAGAACCAGCCAATCTGCAAGAATCTGATGATGTGCCAAAACCAGTCGATGCCCAAGAATCAGTCAATGTGCTAGGACCAAACGATGTGCAAGAACCAACCGATGTGCAAGAACCTGATAACTTGCAAGAATTGGTTGATGTTCAAGAATTAAATGATGTGCAAGAAAGAGAAAATTTGCAAGAAACAGATGACGTGCCTGAGGAATCACATCCATCTGATGAAGTGCCTGTGAATCACAATTATTCTGGGGTAGCTGAAGAGAACAAATGGCCTGGATGGCCTGGAGAAAATGTATTTAGGATGCTGGTTCCTGTTCAGAAGGTCGGAGGAATAATTGGGCGTAAAGGAGAGTACATCAAGAAAATCTGTGAAGAAACAAAGGCTCGTATTAAAATCCTTGATGGTCCTCAAGGAACAACTGAAAGAACAGTAAGTTCACATGCTTATATTATCTCCCCTTTCCACGTTTGAAATTTGTATTTGATATGTTTGGTTCTTGATTTCATCCCTTCTGTCATCCTCCATTCTGCCCCATATGAATCTATCTTACTAGTTCGTACTTAGTACTAGTTAAGTAAGAATTGGCAAGAAATGTCTACATGGTTTTTATTCGTTTTAGTTGTGAAACTTATACGATATTAACTTTGTTACTGGATTTTAGATACAATTTTGCTCCTTCCTTTGGAGTTTAAGTGTATAACTGAGCAAATTCACCTTGCATATTGTCTGAGAACCCATTTTGTGCGGGAAAATTACTTAGGAATTTGCTCATATCCTGAGAAAATCTGCTTCTTATCTGCTTTTCTATGTTTATTGCTTGTTCATGGGGCATGGAGCTCTGAAATCTATGAATCCCATTATATTGTAATATGAAATAACGTCTAAGTCACGGTATTATTGTTATGAAAAATCCAAAAGAGCTAACTCTGTGTTTCAAGAAGGTGTATAAAAGAGGAATACTAAAAAATGTTTCTGACAAATTTCGATATTTGTTCTGACAACAAGCTTGTATCAAATGCCTTACTAGTTAGAAGCTTGTTGAATAGCATTTCATAAGGTTGTCAAGTAGATGATAAATCAGAATATCTGATGAGTGGGATGCTTCCTCTTACTGCCTGAAACCGAAAAGATAAGTGATTTAAGCTGTCAAATAAGACCTAAAACGTCAAATAGATCAACCAGAAAATGAAAATGGGGGAGGAAAGTTATTCCGTTTAATGACCCGAATGAATGTTTGCAGGTTTGCCCATTAGGGAACATTTCACTCATCAAAGTGACTTCAATGTAGAAGAACCAAAGATCCAGATTGCTGCCATCAGCATTGAGCATAAGAGGTGCTGAAAATTTCCTTTGGGGTATTTATCAGAATTATCTTGTGTGGATATATTTACCAAGAAGCTTTGTTGGATCTGGTTAGAATTGGTTGGTTGGCTTTAGGAGAACACATTTTAACTAAACACAGCTATGGATCTTTATTCTGAAGTTGATACAATTAATGCAAGTCTTAACAAGCATGCCAAAATTGTTAAGCACGTAAGGATAAAAGAATCCCAATCATATGTAGCTAATAATATGAAACTCCAAAACAGCATGTAGAATAATGCTATATTGATCCTTATTAAGCACGTGAACAAAGTTGGCAGTTTATGGTGGATTTTATGTCGCCTGGAAGTTAAATTTATACCATCATTCATGGCTTCCTTATGCTACTTGGTTTTCTTCCTTTTTTTTTTTTTTGGAAAATAACTTTATTTCTTGAATCTCATTTATATTCACTGAGTCAGGGGATATCTTTTAGCTCTATTAATAATGAGTGATTAAGTCTGACCTGATTGAGATGATTGTAATTTTTACGCTTAAGTTGAGACACCTTTCTTCATGAGTGGGAGCAGAAACTTTGATTCAGTTATTTAGTTCATCACTTTTTGATGAAATCTGATGTCATCTATTCTTGAGAAGGCGTTGATTTGGACAAGGAACTTAATCTTTTGTTTTCAGATTACAGAATTTTTTTTTAAATTTATTCGAGAATTATGTTTCAGAAGTGACTGTTTTAATTCATTAATGGACAATCATAGTCTTCCTTTTTGAAAATTGTGGTGGGTCAGTTTTATTTGTTTCCTGAACATGTATTTTTAAAGTATAGTGTAGGAATATTGCAAATAGTGTTTCCCTCTCAAGGTAGTGTCCGTTGCAAATGGAACTGGAAGTCATCATTGACCATTCTTTTAGCTTTGTGCTAGTGATGAACTATATCAAAATGGTTTAATTCCAGTGCCTCTTCTATTTGTGAAGTTGCTGGAAATCAATACTTCGAATGACACAATGTATCTTGGTGTCGCAATGGAAACAGCCTCTTTGTATGATTACAAGGGTTAGGCTGCATACATCAGACCCCTACCCCAACTTGATTGGGAATGTATTGGGTATGTGTTGATGTTGATGTTTCCCTGTTAAGGTGGTATGCTCTCATAACCATTAGACACTTGTGCCTCTTTCAGGATGGGCCTTGTTTAGTAATTATGATATTTCTCGTCGGAAACATCTTGTTGCTGCATTGCTCTGTGGAAAAATTGTACCCTGAATTATAAAATGTGCAACTCCTCTTCATTCTATTTCTTAATTCTAGATTGGCTAGGTTGCCTCAAGAATATAGACCTGTTCTCGATCATCTTTTCTTTTTAATTTTAATTAATAAACTTCTTATGTGGTTGAATCAGGTCATGGTTTCTGCAAAGGAAGAGCCTGATCTGGATATTCCCCCTGCGATAGATGGTCTCCTCAGTATACATAAGCGAATAGTTGATGTGGACTCAGATCCAACACATGCTCAACCCGGGCACAGCAAAACAATTTCCACAAGGCTACTTGTAGCAGCTACACAGGCAGGGAGCTTGATTGGGAAGCAAGGTGCTACGATAAAATCTATTCAAGATGCTTCTGGTTGTAACATTCGCGTTCTAAGTGGAGGTATTCTTATGAACCTAATTGCCTTTTCGCCTAAGCATTTGATATGGTCTGGTTCGTTGAATTTCGGGGAAATTTTTTAATTTTGCAGAACATTTGCCAGTTTTTGCTTTGACGGATGATAGTGTTGTTGAGATACAAGGGGAGCCAGCGGGATTGCACAAAGCCGTTGAACTAATTGCTGGACATCTGAGGAAATTTTTAGTTGATCGAAGTGTTGTTGGAGCATTTGAAGCGCAAGTGAGTGAAGGAACTAAAGTATAGCAATTAGTTTGTAGTATTGGTAATTTTGGTTTATGCTTAAATCTTTGTTTTCGGTTCAGATGCAAAGGTCAAATGCTCGACCAAACCAAAATATGCCCCCACCTCAACCTTGGGGCCCTGCGAATCAAGGTTTTTCCATGAATACTGGTGTTGGAAGTGGGTATGGACCGCCTCAATACGTGCCCCCTGCAAGACAATACGACAATTTCTATCCACCGGCTGATGTGCCTCTTGACAAGCCGCCGCGTCCTGGACCACATTATGGGAGAGATTCTTCTGCTGGAACTCACACAGCAAGCATGCAGCCGCAATCATCAATTGTTTCCAAGGTTTTAACATGCAATTTCTATCTGCACCTTTGCCTTTGACGAAATAAATTTGATAGATATGATGGTTCGTAGAAAAGGATCCAACATTTTAAGCTGTAGATATAATCAAATATAAACGAGAGGAGTTAGCGTTGCTGTCGTCTTGCTTCTTATTCTTTTTCTTTTTCCTTCCTTTTTTCCCATACTGTTACTCATGTATTTTTTTTCCTTTTTGGGTGGCATATTGTGTTGTAGATTACACAGAATATGCAAATACCTCTTTTATATGCAGATGCAGTCATTGGCCAGTCTGGAGCAACCATAAGTTACATCCGCCGTGCCAGTGGTGCAACTATTGCAATACAAGAAACGAGGGGCGTGCCTAATGAGATGACCGTTGAAATCAATGGCTCTACAGCACAGGTTCAGGAGGCACAACAGCTAATACAGGTACTTAGTTATTCCAGTAACTGTTGGCTTGCTCTTAGGTTTTCATAAGCTTTTAGAAGTAGGATTTGCTTCCGGTTTGTGCTCTTTGTGATGGAAATTTTTGAGTGTTTACAGAATGTTATCGCTGAAGCTGCAGCAGCTGCACAAAACACTACCAGTGGACCACCTGGTCAAGGTTATAATCCTTACCAGTATGGTGCTATGTATGGTGCTACACCATCTAATGCTGGTGGACACCCTGGCCATGGGCAAGCTGGAGACCATACCTCTGTTTACGGATATGGCTATAGCTAAACTTACAGTAGCTGGAATGTTGTAGTTGTTCTCGGGTAGTAATAGATAGTTTGCAGTTGCTTTGTAGCCTCGTTTCTAAATTTGGTTGGAATTAGTTGTGTTGTACTACTTTTTATTAGTTGCGGCAGTTGGGAACTAGGGTGAGGATTGCAATGTAAATCCTACCCTCATTGTTCTATTTGCATTTTGAACGTTTCAGTTTTCTTGGTACGTTTGCATATGGAATGGCATTTTGTGTGGCATTTTACAGTGACAATAAAAAGCTCCTTTCTGTCATCATTCAATTGGATATAGAATATAAATTACGGATGTATGAATAGGATAATGTATTCTAGAAAACAAAAATCAGAAATTTATACCACGAAGGATTGGAAAATATAGTAAGGTGGGCCCAGCTCTGCTTGGTTAGTTTCTTTTTTATGAGTTTTTATAATATTTTATTAATAAATGTTCCAGCATATTTTTTTTTAAAAAAAAATTAATACACTTTTTATGTTTTCGGGAAAAAAAAAAAATTGAAAACATACACTAAGAAACTATGCAAACATAATTTTTTAAAAATTCAGAAGTTATTAAAGATCATGGGTTTTAATCTTTAGGCTTTAAAAGAAAATCAAGATATCATAAGAGAGAAGTATGTGTTCAACTGTCCATTCTTTGATTCTTCCATACCACCAGGCACGGCTACAAATTCAGGATCAAAACTTCAAAAGCTGCACTGTTACGGGCACTCGTATATTTTGCGATTTTCATACTTCCCAAACTATGTAAACCCGAAAGAGAATCCAAACTATGTTATTTTGCGATTTTCATACTTCTCAAACTATGTTAAACCCCGAAGGGGGAAATTCAAACGGTATCTATGCAAGGTTGGTCAGCTAAACATATCAACCAAGTCAAAGCCACAATCTCATAAGCCTGACATAGAATTCATTCAGTGACATCCATTACTCCATCAGTAACTGAGAATTCTAATTCTAAAGAACAGACAGCTAAATGACAGACGAACAACCATTCAAATGCTATTCTAACGAATTTATCTTGACACAAGAATTTTTTACAGAATCAAAAGCAAATAAGGCTGCAAATCAAATGGGTGCTGAACAGGTAGTTCTAAAATGTCCAGTCTGGTTACAACGACTACAATGCACCACTCGCTTGACACGACCCTGTTCATCTGAACGAGCTCGCCTTTTCCTAGGTTGCCCTGGTGGTCGGAGCGACTTTGGAGGGTTAACAATCATATGCAAACTGTTGTCATCAGTTTGTGTATCACCTTCCATCTCCTTCCACAGGGTCCTATCAGGAATGGGGTGTATTGTTTGAGAGTAGGCCTTGCGATATGATGCAATGGTGAAACAACTCTCAGTAAACCGATGAACATTCTGCCTACAAGAAAGAAGTGCTGCCACAGCATGAGCACAGGGCAGACCTTGGAGCTGCCAGGCTCCACAAGTGCAATGACGATTCCTGATATCCACAGTGTTGTTACCCTCGAGTGATATTACTTGGAAATCAGCCTCACTGCCCCGGAGCACGTGAAAAGCCCTTGCCTTTTCAATAGCTTCTGAAACGCGCCTTTCAGCAGAGGGAACAAGTACAGATGTCCATTCAATACTGGCTTCACGCCTTTCATTGAACCAAGTCATCAATTGTCGGCGAATGCACTCCATCATCTGGATTAGAGGAAGTGCAGAAGCTTCAAGCAACCAAGGATTTAGTGATTCGGCTACATTAGCTGTGAGCTGACCAAAACGTTTTCCTTCGAAATGTGCAGTGGCCCATAAACGAGGGGGAACTCGCCGTATCCAATAGCCTGCTTCCTGTGATGTCTCATCGATTTGTTGGAGTCGGCTTTCAAACTCATTTGCAGTGAGAGCATTAGCAGCTTCCAACAGCATGTTGACAAGCACAGGATTATTGAACTCCTTCTGGAAACTCTCAGTTAGATGCCGTAAACAGAAACCATGAAAAGCAGTGGGGAAATTTGCTTCTACAGCCTCTGTGATGCCTTTTTTTCGATCGGATAATATAGTAAGGATCGGCATATTCTCTGTGTTATTTTCGAGAAGACAATGCAGCTCAGATAGAAACCACATCCAGTTGTCATCATTTTCCTCATCAACAACTGCAAATGCCAAAGGAAATAGTGCACCATCTCCATCAAAACTTGTTGCTAACAGCATGGTCCCTAAGTATTTATTCTTCAGGACTGTCCGATCGAGCCCTATCAATGGCCGACATGCATTAAGAAACCCAAAAATAGATGCTTGAAATGAGATAAACAGGCGATGGAAGGAATTATCAGGTTGATTGACATAAACCCCTGCGATACTTCCCGGATTTGTGCGTTTAATTTGATCACAATATTGAGGAAGAAGGCGAAAGTCTTCTTCAAATGAACCACGGAGAGTAGCCATAATCCTTTCTTTACCCCTCCATGCTTGCTTGTATGACAAAGTAATCCCATGGACTCGATGGATCTCCTCCAGTATCTCTTTTGGCTTGCATTGAGGATTTTCCCGAAGACGACGTTCAACAGAATTGGCAACCCACTGCACTGAGGCTTGCTGATGACCAAGATGAGCAATACCACCACATGTATGTTCCTTGTGAATAGTCCGGATGCTGAATGTAGGAACACCCGGGAGCTTCGCAGCATGTATGCGCCACGGGCATCCATCACTAGCACATTTGGCAGTGAACCGAGTTTTATCGGATTTGATCGTCTGTATCTCAAAATGAAGAGCAATTGCCACATCCCTCAATGCCCGCCGACAACTTTGAACATCTGCAAACTCTTGACCAACAGTTAACTCATGCGTTGGAGGAACTATTTCTGCTCGAGACTGTAGAATAGGTGAAGTGAAAACAAGCTGAGAGTGCTCGCCAGGCTGGGGTGAACCATGATTCCCATCATCAATAAACTGTAGATTTTCATCAATATGACGGCTCTCCACAACAGCCAAACCATTACCTTTTGGTGAATCAATTAGCTCATCCTCTTGCGGAGAAATAACCAGCTGTTTATTACGGATGTCAGGGCCACTATCATCTTGATCTTCATCAGGGCCACCACCTTGCCTTGAATTTGATTCACCCCCTTCAGTCTCGCTATATATATTATCGTGCTTATCGGCAACATCATAGATACTAGCATTCTCAACCAACTGCCCTTGGATGTGCTCATTAGCATCATCAGGTAAAAGATCCCCATCACCAGCGGCATGAATTACATCCGATCCATTTGCATCGGGAACAGCTCTATCATGTGCTAGGATCTGTCTTGTTTCGATAGAATCCCCTGGTTGCAAAATCGAATCTCTTCCATGCAGTGACCCAACATGATGTGGGCTCTGAACTGCAGGAGTACTTCGCCCATGCCTGATAACAACATCATTGTTCGCCATGGCAGTCCCAAAACAAGATTCTTATATTCACACTCTCCCCCCACTATTATCCAAAGGCCAGATTTTTTTTTACTTCAAGTGTTAATTAGTTCAAGAAAAAACCAGCTGTCGGCAATTGAATATCCCCAGTAGCACTAAGATTCAGCAAGTGAGAAAAAAGTTGCTACAAACAAAAATAAGACGGACCGGATCAAACACAACATGATCACCCAATTCAAAGCTTTTGCTAATACTTCAACTCATCAAGATCACAGAAGTAATTCAAACACTCGACAGCCTAATTGACTAATCAGTAGCTCAAAAACAACAAAATAAATTCACAGGGGAAAAAAAAAACTGCACATACCTTTGAATAAATTGAACACAGAAAGCTCGAAGTCGACGGGTATACTCCGAACCTAATCCTAACCTGCAAAACAACGACATGGTGAGAATGTAACTGTAGATAGAAAAGCAACGGGAAACAAACGAATCGGAATTCATAGAAAGAAGTAGGGGAAGGAGATCAGAGTGAAAGAGAGTTGAGATGGATTTGAATTTGGCTTGGCGGGGGAGGATAAACAAAAAAACTATTTATATATATATAAATATTATTAAGGGAGGATGAAGGAAGAAGGAGAGAAAAGAAATTACCAGTGGAAAAGGAGGGCAAGGAAGGGGAAGAACTGGAAAAATGAAAATAAAGGGCACAGAATTGGGGATGCTGTTTCTCCGTCCAGACCTCACGGCTGCGCTTCTTAAAAAGGGGCATTTAGGTCATCCCCGGAAACCCTCATCTCTTTTCCTTTTATACTTGTACCCTATTACCCCTCCCCGATCAACCTTGGAAGCTTTCTCCTACCAAACGTCGTCGTCTAAGTAATTTTTCCTTTTTTTTTTTTTTTTTAAAGGCTAAGCTGTGTATTCAATTTACATTTTCGATATATTTTTTGAAAACAAGAAGGCTCAGCGTTAACAAGTGAGTAGAATTAGAAGTGTATATTGTTACATAATCCTAACATCATCTTTGTAATAAAGCCAATTATATGCGTAAAATATAAAATGACATACCAAAATGTAACACTACATGATACAAATCGGTAATACTACAATAACTGTTACACCCATAGTTTTAAGGAAAATTTGGTGTCAGCTAATAGCTAATCTATGATCCTTCTCCAACTCTAACTAATGTTGGATCTGCTGAGTGGGACCCCATACTGGTATGAATACAATTTCAATCAACTGTTCAACAACCAAAATTGTTCATTCAAAATTGCCTTCCTCCTCCCATGTCTGTTCTGTAGTATCCATAGCTGACCCTTGTCAGTGTGAGTGACTGAAAAACACTACCAAGGGAGCCTTTCATTGCTGTGACCAGATTCTAAAAGGGAAAAATGAATATGGATCTACCGCTCTAAGATATTCTACTTTGCCCCCAATTCCACCATCAGGTATATCTGAGAAGATTGATGTCGAAATATACACAAAAATGCAAGCTCCAAATACGTGCACACATCTGCACTTATGGCAGCAGAAGCCAAAAGAGGATCAACAGTTGCTGTTTCTGCAAAGAGAAGATATCAGATGCCTTTGATCGATTCTATTTTCATAGAGATGGAACTACTCTTTCTAACCGTGTGTGTTCAAGCTTCGGCAGCACTTCAGACACCACTTTCTGTGGTGTTATACAACTTAGTTGTCTGCTGCTTCCATTTGTGACCATTGTTGAGAGCAATGTTTTTTGTTCTACATCCAGATTTTGATTCAATAGTTCCATCCAAAATCGATCATCTTCATTCAGATCTGATTTCTTCATCAGTTCTAAAACTTGTTCCAAGGTTGCTACGTTTCTACCAGCTCCGCAGCCCATGGCAGTTGCAGCACCCACCGCGTTAGCCATAGCCAGTGTATGGACCAAAGGCATTTTATGTAAAAAACCAAACGCTATGGCGGCCACATAACTATCTCCACATCCCACTGTGTCAATAACATTTACCTGTATCAAGGTCGTGTGTTAACTAGGCAGATACATTAAAGCAGCACCAAAATCTGAAATGTCTGAGAAAATGTGAAGTTAATGACTGAGATATCTGATTTCGGAATCAGTGCTTAAGACCATTTATAACTTCTTGCAGGCAGCACTACAGCCGATTTTACATCATTATAAGTACGTAATCAATTAATCAGAAAGTGCAGGGAGACTTGACCTAGTAAACGAAAAGGAAGCAATCCTGGCATCAAACAAGTAGAAAAGAATTTCCTAATAGTTCTATTGGGTTTAATGTATCACTAGCAATATCCGTAAATTTTTCATAGAGAAACAAGGACCAGAGTTTTGCTACCTTGAATGCAGGTGAACAAGCTATTTGTGACATGGAAATCAAAAGAGAACCCCTCGGGCCCATCTTAACAATAACCCATTTTAGACGAATTCCTTCCTGAAGCAACTGTTGTCCTGCCAGAATTGGATTTCCTATGCCCGTCAATGACTCAGCCTGCCACAATATCGAGATGATTGAACATTAATAGCGCAAACAAATAAGAAAACTTAACAGTCGACAACATATAACGAGGTAAGGATTCATAGGGAAGAAGGAATCAGGGAAATTACACGTCAACAAAGTTATAGCCAAGGAAGAAATGGAGCAAAGGGAGAGACACCTCCAGCTTAGAGAAGGTGTTTTAGACATCATAGGAGGACATAAGCAATGATCAAAGAAGTCCCGGGAAATGTTTGAAAACTATGCTTTGCAAAGACATTGAGTGCTCCCAAACAACCAAAAGGCCATATTGAAAGGAGTAAGGAGTAGAAACAACAATAAATTATTATGGCCCTAATTCTGCCAGGACGAAGAGTTTGTAAGGTAAAATTGAGAGCATTGTGAGCTATAAAAATTTAAGTGTCAATACTACATAACAAGAAGCCAGCAAAAGTAGTCAAGAAGCCAGCAAAAGTAGTCATGTAGTCAAATTTAAATGCAAAGTCGGGTAGAATAATCTACTAGACGAACCTCATCAGAAGTTAACAGAAGAACATCACTCATTCTTAAGAACTTATCAAGGACCCTTTGTTCATCAGCTGATCCCGACAGAAGGGTTTTGCCCCTTGGACCAGGGTCAAAGAAGATTGAGGTTCCCATGTCAACAGCATATTCGAGGGCAGATTCAAGAAGGCTAGGGGTAAGTTCATCAAACCCATAACCATTGCAAAACAGTATCTTTGATTGCTTAATACCCTTCTTTGCCTGAGCTGATAGTTTTCTCATCCAACTAAAAGCGGGCTCCTTACTGAAATCTGCTCGACTGAAAACAACAAATACGGAAACGATCATTCTTTTGGCCTTTTCCCACATAATCAGAGTACCTGGAGTGCATATCATTACTGAACTGAAATCTGAACTAGCCAGTAAGTATTAACAATAAACAATAAATGGAACATGTTCTCAATTTGATTTACAAAAGTCATATATCCTTGCTAAAGTTTTTTCTTTTAAATGTTTTTCCGAAGTCTTCTAATTCCTATTTTAATCTGAATCAGTGATTTGATGGGAATCTAAATGTTTCTTATGCACATGCCCAAACAATCTGAAAACTTTTTTTCTCTCCTTTCGTCATTTATTAGGACTATCCCTACATACTTTCTAACATGTGCATTATAACAATCTGCAAATTGTCATTTCTACCCTAGTTTTGTTGTTCAATCTCTTATCTACTAACCCAACACAATCACCCCCCCACAAAAAAAAAATCATCCATTTTTACAGCTATGCTGCAGAATTCTTCTTCTAGGTTTGGCGGTATTTTACATATTGCTTATATTGGTCACCTTTTTTCTCAAAGATAGACCCTACAAATCTAAACATTTTTAGATACATTTGATTTATGTTAATGTTATCATTAGTAAATAATTATATTTTGAATATTTACCTGCAAAACCCATGTCTTTGCAAAGGGTCCACTAATACCCAGCAAAGAAGTGTTTCATAGGCTTCGGTTGAACCACTGACTTCATCACCGTTTTCATTCATTCCAATTACATCTATTCCTTCATCATGGAGGACATCTAACAGGAATTTCCCATAGATTTCATCACCAACATGACCAATTGTAGCACATCGAAGCCCAAGCCTTGCCGCTGCTATTGCCATATTACAGTTGCCACCAGCTTCCCAATATTGCTACACATATGAAATAGGGAAAACTCAACCTCATGTAGTTTTATGGTGCACACATGCATTTCCAAACAGCGCATAGAATAACCCAAGAGTGTTGCACTCTAAATTTCTTAGCCTACATGATTTTTGGTTGCTTTCTTCTCTAATAACAATATTATCTAACTGCATCAAGAGGCAAAATTATTTATCAGAATAATTTCACATCAACAATTACTTCAATGACTCAACTTTCTTCTTCCAAACCTATGTCTCATTGAATTCGCCCCAGAATCACATATTCATGAAGAAGCAGATAGGTAAGGCTAATTACAAGGTAAATCAAGGATGTGGAAAAATTATGCGTGCTTATACGAACATGACATGAAATCACAACTCTTGAAAAGGTACTAGCTTCACCACGTGGAGAAAATATTGACACTACAACAAGAAAACCGTCTCCCTTACAATCAACATGAAACAGAATCTGAATACTACCAATAGAAAGAGTTTTTCAATAAACAATTTAAATATAAAAATCGAGATCAAAATGTGTTTTTGAGACAGCTAAATCAAACAACATTTTAAATCTTCGTATCCAACACTTGTCTTTAGAACAAAAATTTTGGTCTCGAAGTTTTAACTTATAACACAAACAATATTCCAGATATGAGTGACACAAGTTTCCGAAATGCACTCTATTTCCAAACAGGGTCACAAGTCGCATCATCAAACTGTTCACTCCTCATGCCTCATTCCAATCTCTCTTAAATTAACCAGATGAATTAAAGGAAGTAGACCCGCAAATATGGCACAGCTCCATAACTAAACGAGAAAACAGACTAATCTCTCTAAAGCTATAATACTATTCAAACCAATTAAGATTCGGAATTTAACTGTTTGAACTGACGGAATTGGCCGTATACATTCTTCTTTTCTAAGAACATACTGTAAAAAAATGGTGGAAAAAAAGAAAAGAAAAAGAAAGTACCTTAGGAGGAGGAGTTTTGGATAGCTCATCCAAGTATGCTTTACGCTGATCGGTAGGCTTTGGGGGCAATTTAGGAACATTGAGAACGATATCCACACAGAGGTTCCCCAGGGTGGCCACGTCAACATCCTTGGATACTCCGACGTTCCTTACACACTCCTCGCCGTCGTCGACGACGGAGCCATTGCAGAAGCTGACGGCGTGAACCGGCCATTTCGGAATGTGGGTTTCGTTACCCCAGCAATTCAGGACCGAGTAATGACGATGGGTCTTTCTTGGACGGGGAAAATGGAACCCGGAGTCTCTAGGGTTTTGGGGGCTGGTTTCTGGATAAGGATGAAAGAGGCCATTTCTGGGAGCTGGGGTTGATGCAGAGGATTTGAACAATACGGCTGCGGGGTGATGATATTGAAGAAGATGCATTCCCCAATTTTGCTACACAAATATTGCTATAAAATTAAACCGAAACGAACAGAAAAATGGAATGGAACTGGTAGGAATTGAAGATTGAAGAACTGTAACAAATGGTATGCTCTATTCTCCAACAGTGTCCTGCTAGAACTGGCCACTGGGTAAAGGGGTATAGCCCTGCTTGGGGTTTTCTTTTTTGTAGAAAAAAAAATATTAAAAGGGAAAGGAAGGAAAATTCTTTATTCTTCAGAAACGGAGAAAAGAGGGAAATGGACGAATGGATGACAATGGAAATTGATTAGGCGGGTCAAATTGAACAAGCTCTTAATTATCATTCCTTTGAATTCTTATTTTAGGATTTTCTAGAATCTTTCACACCAGTGATAAACCATAGTAGTACTTTACTTTATTTTTATTTTTTTTTAGTTTTCAGAATATTCATTTTGATTGATCACTATGGAGTTCTTTTATTTATTTGGTTGTTTAGGAATTTTGATTACTGCCATAACTTAAGTAGGCCTTTTTGGGGAAATAAATCTCCCTCCAAGAACTAGTTGAACTATTATTTCCTCCGTTCCAAAATAATAATTCACATTGAGTTTTGAATTTTGTATTAAGTTTGTATTTTCAATACAAAATTCAAAACTCAAAGTGGACTATTATTTTGGGACGGAGATAGTACTTCGAATTAGATGAGATACCTTTCAAAACTTAACAATCACTTCCAAAATAATATTTCAATCACTATTGAAAATCTTGTCTTTTGATCAATTATTAATTTTATTTCACTATATGTTTTCACTGCCTTAATAACTTCTTATTCGTTTTATAAAACAAGTTCATAGTGGGAAATATGAAACGTTTGTTTTTTTACAAGTTGGATGGTCTAGCATTACATCAAGGCTTACAACATGTTCTCCTTCGGTGCTATTTGTAAGTCACACATCAAAATTCAGTATTGTTTTAACTCAAATCCGGGCTTCATTATTTGGACAGGAGGGAGGGAGCATAGTGAACCCTTGGGAATTTGGATCTCTGATTCTCTCAACTTGGAGTTTTCATCAATTTATTATCAAATTAACACTTCACTGCAGATTTCAGTGTCCTTTGGTCGGTCCATCATTAAATTGATAGAAGGCAAAATTGTGTTATCTAACTGCCAAAACATCTCATGTTCTACATCTAGCTAGGGATTTCCTTTTCACCTGATATAGTACATGTGAAGATAACAGATAACTACATTCTGCTCTACAGTGTTATTTCTGGTCTGAAGTGCTGCACCTTGGCCAATTCATCAAGCCTGTTGACAACCTTCTCAGCCACATTACCATACGCTTTCGAGACTACAGAATCAGGGTGTGATACTACAATGGGAACGCCTTCATCTGAACCGCTTCTGATGCCAACTTCAAGTGGTATCTGCAACAATGACATGCAAGCAGTTTGCAATCAATTCTCTTGACATGTCGATCTGTAACTGGTAAGGGAGTAGACAGGATACACTAACTAATCAAGGAAGTCATGCAAGCAAGAAGTTCAAAATATGTAATCATCGGGACCTACATTTTCCAATGACATTGCACCACAGGTCTCAACACTGATACTAATATGACTTAACATAATTGAGAAAGACTCAAATGAAATACCTCGCCTAAGAATTGCATATTCATTTCCTCGGCTGTCTTTTGAGCCCCTCCTTTACCAAAAATGTGCCAGGACTCTGAGCAGTTAGGGCACTTAAAGTAGCTCATATTCTCCAGAACTCCAAGAATCTGTGACATGATAATGGAGTTACTGAAAGTTAAAGATACACACTTGGTTAGAGGTAGCAGCTATCACTACAAAACTTGGAAACTTCTATATTTTTTATTTTCTCTTATTTGGCAAAACTAGGGGCGAAGTCTTAACACCAGAAAACCGAATGAAAACTTGATCATGAAATTAGACAACCATAGATGTGTCGTAAAAAAGGACATAAAACTGAAATAATCATACAGGCACATTGACTTGAGAGAACATCTTAACCCCTCTTCTTGCATCCATCAGAGCAACATCTTGTGGGGTGGAAACAATCAAAGCTCCTGTGAAAAGAACAAAGCAACCATGAAAATGATAGAAAAAATTTGTGCATACAAAGAGAAAAATGCAAAACAAAACCGCAGATAAAACCATACCAAGTGCCCTGTGTTCCAAGATGTGACTCGAAGAATAAATGATAATTCAAATGATTCATGAGGAGATGAAACAGATGAGGCAAAACTATAGATCCTGAAAAATTAAGACTATCAAGTCACTAACTATAGATATCGTCAGGATGTTATGAATGTATTTGTTCAGTTCAACAGGCAAAATGAAAGGAAATGCAGAAAAAGCAAAAATTTCCACCTCTTCAAACACAGTATTGAATCAAGATATGCTAACTGAACTTTCTTTGCAGAGTTAAACAGACTAGTAAAAGACATATGCAAAATTGAAATGTCTGACAAGATTTTAATTCAGATTGAATTATAGGAATCAAGAAGATCTAGATCATTAGTTCCATGCAGATAATCCTGCAGTAAGGTTCGTTGCTATGGGAAAATCATTTACTCTAGGTGTTTCACCATATTTTTATGTAATCAACTTCAGTTTTTAAATACCAGACAGTTGCAGCCTCTGGGAAATAGATATCTGAGCATCACCAGTGCCAGGAGGCATGTCAACCACCAAAACATCCAAGGTTCCCCAACTTACTCCCCGTGTCATTTGTTCAAGAGCTTTCATGACCTGCAATTAGCAAAAGAGTGCATGAAGGTGAAGAAAGTTACAGCATAATTTGAAGCCAATTTGCATAGAAACACTACAAGCTTTTGTAAACGTAAAAACAGAATGTGGAAGTAGAGAACATAATGATGCAGTAAACGTGAGACAAACAATTCAGAGACCAACTCAGGAAGAGTGCAAAAAGAAAGAGTGATACGGAATAGAATCTAAAAGGGCACTACAAATGGCAGCTACCATAGGACCTCTCCAAACAAGGGCTGCACCTTCTTCCACCAGAGAACCCATTGACATGCATCTAACTCCATAGTTCTCAATCGGAATCATTTTCCTTTCTGTTAAAAAAGAATAAACAAAAACAAAAATCTCCCAAACATTACGGCCAAGCAAAAAATTATGCATTAAACAAGTTGTCAATGTAGGCAAACCTGGAGTAACTTGTGGCTTTCCCTCGAGCTTCATCATAATTGGAATTGAGGGTCCATAAACATCAGCATCGAGCAACCCAACTTTCAATTTACATCTATTAGCAAGTGAAACGGCCAAATTCACTACATGAACAACAGAACACAAAGTAAGCATTTAGGCCAAATTAATTAGAACCGGGTAAAAATAAAAATAAAAAAAAATCGAAATCAGACAAAGGGCAACAAAAAGTACCGGCGGTGGTTGACTTGCCGACACCACCTTTGCCGGAAGCAACAGCTATGATGTCTTTAACTCCGTCGATCTTGAGGTCTTTGGAATGAGGATTCGGCGGCCCCTTCCCAACTTGGACTGAAAATTTCCTCAAACTTACAATCAGATTTCTGCTTAAACCCTTCATCAATAACAGTTTCATCTGACAGTAACCAATCTATTGATTAGAATAGTTGGAAAAATTTTGTTATGTAATGAAAAAATATTGAGATGAAAATGGCTTTATTTTTCTTTTGTTAGAAAAAAAGATGACTTACACATTAGTTAATGCTGAAAAAGTATGCATAATTTGTTTTATAGACTTCACATCTTAACTAATTTTCCATTTCTGGGACATCCAAGGACCTGTGTGTAATTATTATTTATTTATTTTTTTTCCCATTTGCGATTTGCACCGTTTAACTTTTCCTTCATAATTTATGATCATGATGACTAATTATGATCATCTCATCACGATCATCTTCATCTCCTCTCTTCTTCCTCTCCTCTTCCTCTTTCATTATCAAGTTGCTGCAGAAGTATCTCCAGGTTCATAATCTTCTTGATTTGGGTCATAATTCGATTGATTTGATGTCACATTGATAAATATGAATTCCAAAATTCACGTTGTTTTGCGCTGAAAATTTTGATCAGAATGAGCCATTTTTTTTCATTCCTTTTAAGCGGATTTAATTCTTAAGTGTGTCAATGTATCATATTTGCATCAATCACTAGCAATTCTACTCTCACATCTGATCACTCTCCGTAGAAAAATTTGGGATTAGGCTTCTTTGATGTCTCCCCTTTTGAGTTTTGTTATTTTCTCCTGTAGAATTACATGGTTTTGTCTCCTTTTTTATCGTTAAATTTTAGTACATTTATAAAATTAGCTCTGCAAAATGTTTGAAATGCTTTTTTCTTTTGATGTGGGTTCATAATATTTTCTTTACACATTGATCCGTGAGTTTAGGCCTGGCAAATTTACATGAAATTTGACACAATGGCATACTGAATGACATGAGGGATTGGTTCATGCTTGATTGAAAGATATGATCTTATATATATAATTGAGCACTTCAGCTCTATGTACTTACTGGTTTTTAATTAGTAGGGAGCTTCATGTGATATCCGGAATTTTTCGTCACCAGAAATGGCTGTTAGAGGGGTTTCACCTGTCAAATCAAGAAATCCATGTACTTTTATGGCTATATTGTCTTCAGCAGCTTGTGAATGGTTCCTGATATTTATGTTGTTCTTAGATGCTGCATTGTCATATTTGCTCACCAAATTTGCCCTCTATTGTGAGCTGCAAACACCTTGCCTATTGTGTTCAAGGATTGAGTATGTGTTTGGGGAAAGTAAACGAGGTTACTATTGGAGATTACTGTGTGGAAATCACAGGGAAGAGATTTCATCCTTGGTTTTCTGTCATACCCATAACAAACTTGGTGATGTCCATGCTATGTGTGCTGACTGTCTCACGTCATATGCTAAGATTGGTAAATCCAGTTCGGAATCATGTCGGTTGTTGATTGCCAAACTAGGGATAGATATTGAGGATTCTGGTTTGAAGTCCCTACTTCTGAATAAGCGATCAATAGCTGATTCTTCTGGTCCAAGGAATTGCTCTTGCTGCAACAAGCTACTAAAAGCGAAATCAAGTGCTCAAAGACTGCTACAGGTGAATCCAATTGGAAATGGAGCTTCTAAAGCCAATGTCAAACCTCCATTACCGCGTGTGCCAGGCCGTAGTCGTTTCAGCCGCCGTGATAGCCTGAAAAGGTTAAGAGATAAGTTTTCGGGACCAATGACGCCTCGTCTTACCGGGGGTGCTACTGCTGACTCTTTATCTCATGTGGGGTATACTGAGTTAAAGATTTCTTCGGATACTGAGTCTGAGTTTCCATTTTCTGATGATGATGATATAGCATCTGCTCATCATGGAAGTGTTGATTCTAGGACAGAATCTGATATGAAACAGGATCTAAAAAAACTTCCTAAAGTAGTTTCTGATAATTCCTTTCCTGGAAATCATAATCATCAAATTTCGCAGCCATTGCCGTCACTTCTTGATCAACCTGTGCAAGGTGAATCAAGTAAGACCACTGTTGAATCAGTTATGTATGAAAAGCATGGTTTGGAAGAACTTAATTGGCCTCTGCCTACTACAGAGTCAATTTCTTCTCGCGCGCCAGAAGCATCGGATGATATCCACCATTTTGCTGAGAATCCCATACAAGGAAATTCTGTCTCCGAACCATCCAACCTCTCCATACTTTCAGAGGTCCTTTCTTTAAGCAATGTCCTTTCCCAATCAACTGTTGCACAAGTTACGGACAAATGTAAGTTGAAGCTGTCTTTCCCTCCCCCCTCTCTTTTTTTTTTTTCTGAATTCATAAGTTATTGGTTCTTTGTCTGAAATATGTCTAATGGTTTGGCCTTGCAACAGCAGATATAACTGAAACCGAAGAGAATGGAAACATATCAGTTGCTGATGCCTCTCCTATCCTAGTGTCCAACCACACGTATTCAACAACCGCTGTCACCAATACTAATAAAGAACAATCTGGCATGCTTGCGGAACCCCTTAGGAAAAATGGTTCTGGTAGAGCTGAAGAAACTCTACACTTACCACCACGAGTAGTTTCTCCTGATATGAATCTATCACCAAATATTTCAAGTCCCAGAGTTCCTAGTAATCATGATGGACTGCAAAGAAATGATGATACAGTGGATATGCTCCAACTGGCAGCTGCCTTAGAAAGACATGATTTTGTTCGCGAATCTCTGGATGGGATTAATGTTAAGGAAATCGAGGGTGAAACAGCTCCTGATCGTCTAAGAAGGCAGGTTGATTATGATAAGAGATGCATGAAAGCTTTATTTAAGGAATTAGAGGAAGAAAGAGGTGCTTCTGCAATTGCTGCAAATCAGGCAATGGCTATGATCACAAGATTGCAAGAGGAGAAAGCATCACTTCACATGGAAGCATTGCAGTACTTGAGAATGATGGAGGAGCAGGCAGAGTATGATATGGAGGCACTGGAAAAGGCTAATGATCTTCTTGCTGAAAGAGAAAAGGAAGTACAGGATTTGGAGGCTGAGTTGGAGATTTACAGGAACAATATACTAGATGATCCAAGTGAAGTAACCAGCAATAAAAATGTGGAGAGCAAGACAGTTGTAAGCAATCATACTACTAATGTTGAAAATGATGCAACTGAAATTGATGACTCCCAACCAACTGACATACTGAAACAAGGCCATAAACATGAACATTTAAGTAGCACAGACCTGGATTTTGAGGATGAGAAATTATACATCCACCAACGTTTGGAAGACCTGGAGAAGAAAATTTATCAATTTTCGAGAAATGCATCACCTGTCAACTTGACAAATGGTTACTGTCCTGAAAAGTTAATCAAAGGAGTTCATGATAGGGAGGAGATACCAAATAACATTCAGACTGAAATAAACCATCAAAATGAAGATAATGGCTTGTCATCGCAAAAAGATTTGTGTGCAAATGGAAGACCTAGGAAGGATAAAAGTGCTGATTTAATTGAAGGAAATAATCATCCAGATTCTATACAGGATAGATTGTATGCTGATGGAGGTGGGAATTTTTTGGATAGCTTTATGGACGATATAACTGACCTTAAAAATAGGCTGCAAGCACTTGAAAACAACCATGATATCCTCGAGCATGCTTTGAGATCACTTGGTGACAGTAGTGATGGATTAAAGTTCATCCGAGAAATAGCTTATCAGTTGGAAGAACTCCGGAAATTAGAATTCAATCGAAGGTACGCATATGTCTCTTTATATTGTTGATTCGGCGATTAAGTATTCATGGAAATTGCAATGGTATGAATTTATTCGTTATAAATTAACTTGAAAATTGTGGATAAGTGTTACGAATCAAGAAAGTATTCCTTGTCTAATTGTTGATTTTCCTTTGTTGGTTATGTTAATATCCTCATATCTGTTGCAATATATGGGTTAAAAGTTCTACATTTATGTCGACAATTAACCTATCAAAACTTGCCTGTCAAAAATCATTTTCAAACTTCCAAGTCTGATTGTGGTTTCCTACTATAGCAGTCACATACGACAGCACATTTTTTTAGACGTATATAATGAGTCCTGAGATAAACAAACCTCTGAATATCGTGATTCTTCAATTTTCAAACTTTGTTTTGCGGCGATCAGCTAAGCATTTGACGCTTTAGGAAATGTAGCATTCATAGAGATCATTTTTTTTTTCTTTTGAGAATTCATTGGAGTTCTTCATTAACCAACTACACGCCTTTTCAACCCACAGAAGAGAAAACATGTTCTAATCATCTGTGTACAGCTATTGAATCGGTTACATTGGCCAGATCGTGGCAGCTTCACTAAATCACAGAGGCACAGAAGTCCCCAAAAAATATACCTAGAACCAACAGCTGTCTCTGTTGAGTGGAGTGAAAGAATTGTACTATAAACAGGTGATCTAGATGAACATCCGAAATTACAGACATGAAGAAGCCTTCCAGCTTTATGTTGGTGTTCTTTGTTGTTTTCTACATATTGTACTTGGATGACATTTGTTGAAATCTTTTACATTTGTGTGCTTGATAACTGCGGAATGCACTTGGTTTAGTCCTTTATCACTTCCTCTTAATATGAGAATCGAAGGACATCTTAAATAATTAATTGAGTTATAGTTCATTGCCCTGGTTTTTAAACTTCTTGAACATTAACATTGTCACAAACTTGCAGATTAACAGGTACTGAAAGTGAAACATCAGATGCATCAGAGCTTAATATAATGACACAATAGCATTACAGATTGGCTTTATATACACACTTCCTGGTTATTTAACAATATCACATGATCGGTTCAGAACAGCGAGCCAAATTAGCAGGTTGAAGAAAACAAGGGGCATAACAGGACCATAAGGAGTATCTGTAGGTTGGCAGACACACTTTCCCTTTGAAATTTTGATTATTCTATGTTCACTGCTTAGTTTGAGTGTAGTTGGTTTCCCAGTCCTCATTAAGGCGAGTTCTAGCATGACTTTGGAAGGGATTGTCAGAGTTGGATAAATTTTAAAATGTTTTCTGGGAGGTCTTATGTTATACTTTTGCTTTGTATGCAAGTGATTTCAAAAGACTGTCTCTACTCTTAGTAAATGATGTTCCACTGAAGTTGATTGTATAGAATAGAAGACGGGCTGTAATTACTGAATTCTGGTAACTGGAGTTGGCTCATGTTTGCTATATTACAATTTAAATTTTGTTCGTATAAAAAAAGGCACAATACTGTATTTAGGTTCAAGTTTAAACCACTCTCTTTTTGTAACGAAGGAATATGTATCATGTTCGTGAAAAAGTTCAACAAATAAGACTATTGTCGTCCTTTACTTCATCGTACACTGGCTGATACAGATTTCTCTCTAATTTTTTCCAGAATTTCCTGATTCACAAAAACTAACCCAAAAAACAATGTCAATGCAGCAGAAGTGTTGTGTCACGCCCGGCTAAGATAAAAGCTTATGAGTTATGACTAATATCGGTTACAAACACCAAACGCTACATTGCAAACTCACACATATCAGTTTACAAAAGAGGAGCTATTGCTCTTTGGCATTTTAGCATTTACAGCAGAAAAGTAGTACCAGTCCATCCTCCAAAAGAGGATCTTAGCAGCCAGTGTGTCCCATTCCCTCCTCTTATTTTTGTTTATTTCTCAGCGACACGCTCTCTCTCCCCATATCATCACTTCCCTCCAATTTCATTCCATTCCAAAACCATAAATGCCACCTTTGTCCTCCGACCGCCAGTTCTACTGTCACAGATTAGATTGCGGTCAGTTGGCTAAAATCATTTCCATGCGCCAGAAATTTTACATATTGATCAGATGCTGTCATCTAGTGCATTGCTCCTACTTATAGGCTTTAGCATTTCTTATGTGCAACGATATTTGGAACTCCCGCCTCATGCTCGGACGGTTGGATTACCTTAATCGCAAGTGTGATATACTGTATTACGGTCTCTTCATATTAAGAAGCCTTTAAATGGAGATACCAAAACAGATTTTCGTTCTAAAAAACACAAAGGCAAAAAACTGCTGAAGAAATGGTTTTGGTTAAAATGCCAACACGGAGCTAAATATGAAATCCAATTGTGGTTCAGCTGACAGCTTGATGACCACTGATTCATTATTATTGTTCCTGATCTGTTGCTCTGGTTTGGAAAATTTACTCTTTTTTTTTTTTGTTTGATTAGATGTGGCTTAGTGGCATGAATTTTCTTCTAACCTTGAGCTTGTTAAGTTGTAAGGCCTAAAAGCATGTTAGCTGTAAACACGATTAGTAGAAAAAACTCCTCTTCCTGGGTGAAAGAAGATGATGAAGTGCAATGAACTACTTTGCAAATATGAAGATGTTGAAGTGTCCACTCTAATCTTAATATATAATGCGCTCCCTAATTTTATTTTTGGAGGGAAATTGTTGAATTTTGGAGAGAGATGATATCCAAGAGAGCAATTAGGACGGTGATATAATAAAGAGGGAAAAAAATAAAGGCTTCACTTCTTTAAGGGCAATTTTAGTTTCGTTAACGTTTCCTCTGATTCATTGTAAGGCCAATTGAATTTTTGGCCGAAGTTAGATCTCTGATTTTGTTGGATTTTTTTTCTTTCCGATCCCCCCTTGTCGGAGTTCGCATCGTTGTTGATTAAATTAAGTATTCGGATTAGTGGGCTGAATTTGTATTTTGGTGGAGATCTAACAGAGGATTAAGTCCATGGAGGATAATCGGAAACAGCTGGAATTGGAAGATGCGGGTATAGCTGGGCTTCCTGTTGCTGTGGTCGATTTTGATCGTGACTGGCCCGAGAAGAAGGATCAATTCGTGAAGAAAAGGTATAAAGCTTTTCTTATATGAGCAACACTTGAAGGAGGAGGAGAAGAAGAAGAAATTCTGCAAACCAAACGAGAGTGATGAAAAAGATGATGATGATGATGAGTTTGAAGATGCTTTGAAAGTGAACGAAGCTAATAATAAGGTTGATGCGGGCAAGCAAATTGATTTTGTTAAGGTTAAGAAACCTGTTCCAGAGGATAGTACTGCTACTGATGGTGTTCCAGAGGATAGTACTGGAAGGATATACTATCTTCTTGACCTTGATGTCAGTTGTGCAAATCGGTCTATGCCTCAAGATCTTCTCCCTTATATGGATTCAAACGATCAGCGAGTTATATGCTGTTAGGATTATTCACCTTGCATTCTACATTCATAAAGCATAGTTATAATTGACTAGTTTTGTTTTTTGCCTGTTGCTCTTTTGAAGTTTTACTCAATGTAATGTGTTTATGAGTTTGTGATCCAACGGCAAGTTAATCAAAATAGATTAAGCGGTCTGGATTTGAGTTCGAGTTGCTTAATTTCATGCTTGCTTTGGGAAGAATTTGACATGCAAGCACTTGTGTGTGTACTAGGAAATAGTCTTTCTTCGTTCTATAATAATATTGGTCACCAAAGTAGTACCGATAACTCTTTGTAACAAATGTAAGTACGAGAATATTCGGCGGAATTAAAAAAATTACAATAGTCAAAGCAAATATGGTACGAAGACATATTTTATGCGTTAGCGATGTTTTATTCATGAATGTGAAGCTCTGAGTTCAAATATTGTACATGTTTATTTCTCGATCGCGGAGACTTACTCTTCGCATATTTGAGGCATACTACAATAGATATTCGAGCAACATGTAAATATACATAGATCGGCACACAAAATTTCAGTTTGAAAAATCACAACGCAAGCATATGGAAAACGTCCCAAGTAAAGAGACATACCTAGCGCCTCTTCTCAAATGTGGTATTGAGTTGGTTTAGCCCGCTGTTTTTGATCTGGAAGTCCATACAATATATATGGAGAGAGGAGGAAGCTGAAATTTCCAGTTTCAGAGAAGGATCCACTTCTGTGTCAGATATCGTTCAGGACTAGCGTACTTTGAAGGTTCCAAATATCTATTAAAGAATAATTTATGACATAGAACTATTATTTTGAAGTAATTAAGTTCGCATTGCAGATTACACTTGAACTTTGTCAAACTCAAATTCCTCTTTACGCTCAAGGGTTTAGAGCATTTTGGATCAGCATGCTGTAAGATATATCCCTAATCAACAAAAGGTACAAATCAATAGTAACAAAAATGGTTCTCATCATAATATGAAGAAAAGTACTACAACTGTCTACACATTTCTGCAATATCTATTTACAATTCAGTTGAAAAGGAACCGAGTTCCATACAAACAAATCAATCTAGACATACTCAACACATCAACTACCTCCTCAAATACAAAAAATGCCCATTAATGAGGTACTACCATTAACCTAAATCTAGGTTTCGAGAAGTTCTTCACAATTTCATTTTGCACGCCAAAACCAAGGAGCACCTGGGAGTACAAACAAGAAAGTTTTTTCAACATTCAGAATTTGGTGCACTAATCCAACTGCAAACAAACATAGATAGCATATTCAATGTACTTTGTAGGAAAATTCTTGTGAAAGAAGAAAAGTACCATCAATCATCATACGTCCCTGCTGGTTCGTGATCAGTCAAAAAATTTCTCCAGCCAGCATACTAATGAAATAAGTAGTAATTGTCAATAGTGGGAACAAAAAAAGGTTGGGCAGAGCATTTAGCAGGGAGATGAAAGGAAGCGCACCTGGCTGAGATCATCGTCTGTGATCTTTTGTGTTGTGCAAATAAACTTTCTTCAGGTTGGTGCAGTCTTCAAATAGTGTTGGCGGTAGAGTAGCCAACTCTATATTGTGATGACGGTTTAACTCCTGCACATACATAAGATTGATGATAAATCCAAGTTGAAGAAGATTGATGATAAATCCCAAGTTGAATCTGATGAAATGTAGATTTAGACAATAAGCATACATACCTCTACTCTTCCAAATTAGCCAAGGTATCTGGCAACTCAGTTAACAAGTTGCTCGACAGTCCTAGCTGCAACATCATCACATTATGATTAAGTTTGTTTCCTTTAAATCCCCCTCCACAAGAGAGAGAGAGAGAGAGAGAGAGAGAGAAAAAAAAGGAAAGAAAAAGAATAAAATCGTGATTCAAAATAAAGAACTACCTCACGAAGTGAGCGGCAATCCCCAATGCTGGGGGGAAGCATGACAATACTGCATTTTAAGATCAATATTGAACCTCAAAATATTCTGCACACTTCGAACAAAAGTAAAAAAATAAAGTTTTATATAAAAAATAAAGTTATAAACCTGTTCAGATCAGCCCTGAGAACTTGAAGGAATCTAAGGCTTCCTATCTCATGTGGTAGGGTAGTGAGCTTATTATACCAAATATTAAGTCTGCACAAGGCTATCAAAGCACCAACCCAAGATGGAAGCGCCCTCAACCTGCACAATCCAATCAGAAACATTCAAGATACATCTCCAAAGCGCTCAAATTGATATGCATTAAAAACTTATCATTTCTTACTGATTTTGGGATAGGACCAACTGATTGCATCTTGGAAAATCTCCATACTCTAAAGTGGGCATCTCAAGTTGAAACGGTAGATCAATCAACAAATTAGCAGCAAAACTAGCCTGAAAGATATCAAGTTTTGTCAAATTTCAATTGCATTTTGTTCTTTAGTTATAAAACAAGTATAAGCAAAAATAAAACATACCATAATATATGAAATAAAACATACCACACGAAGTGACACACACCTCCCAATGCTGGGAGGAATATGGTCAATCTGATTGGAATCAATGTCCAAGAACAAAAGTTTGTTTAAATGGCCGATTTCCACACGCAAAGTTGTCAGCATATTGTAGCGAAGCTCCACTCTCTCCAAATTATTGGTTAGCGCAAGAAGGCCAGACGGAAATTCCGTCAAACTGCAGTAAAATAACATAATTAGCACCATAATCATAACATAAGAAGTAACAGATTTGGTCGGCATATTAGCAGAAGATATAATAAAATCATAATTAGATGTTCGACGTCTTTCAGCATCAAGTAGAGATATATACTTATTGTGGTTCGCCTTGAAGACCTTAAGGTTCCTGAGCAAGGCTATCTCAGATGGCAAGCTCGCCAACTGGTTGCGGGAGATCCTAAACTCAATCAGAGATGATAAGCTACCAAGAGTATGGGGAACTTCCGTTAACCTGCTCAACAAAATAAGACTGCTTAGCAAAAAACAACTCTAGTCACAGATTTCTGAAAAGCTGCAGAAACCGAAACTCTAGTGACCCTTAAATAGCCAAACCCTAAGTTAATAATTACCAAAAAGCCCAACCCTAAAGGCTTCTGGAACTTAGCAAAGTCTCAAAACATAGTTTCCCTAAATTATCTCAATTAAAATAAGGAGACCTCCTACAGCACCATTTCTTTACTATGATTGTTCATTCACTTTAATGTATTATGTCCACATACTAATCATAACATCAAAAATAACCAATCTAGTAGAACATAAAAACAATAAACTGGAAAATTCTTGATTATCATAATAAAACACACATTGTTGGACAACCCAACAGAAAATGTTGACAGAACTTACCCATGATTGTACACATTCAGACGTGTCAGATATTTCATTCTTGTGGCGGTTTGAAACAGGGACATGATTTCTGGACATTCTGCCGTTAAATTTTCAAGGTCCCACTGTATTATCATAAACCAAAACAAACACTTTTATCAGACATTACAAAATTATTAATCCCACTACCCAATTCAATCCAAAATTTAACAGGATACAAATACACACCTCCTGTTGGTTAGAAATTATCATGATTTTCGATCCGTTCGAGAGGGTTCCGTCACCCAACTCCATAGTATCCGGCAGCAGCTTGCCTACACATCATCAGAATGATTCAAACAACTAAACACACTGGAGATTCAAAGAAATCCCTTTCAAACCCTAAAAAATTCAAAGAACTAAACACAATGGGAATTGAAAGAATTCCCTTCCAAACCCCAAAAAACGAGAGAAAATCACTCAAGAAGTGATTGAGATTAACCTCCGAAGAAAAGCTTTAGAATCGGCTGAAAAGTTTGTGAATTTTTGAACCGCGAGCTTCAAATCCTGGACGGTGGAGGGGAGCTCTTGCAAGAACACGCGATTGAATCCAAAAAATCGTATCTTTAATTCAATCTCTTCCATTTTGAAATCAAGAATAACCGTCGAACTAAAAATCACAACAACGATCGCAGTGGAAAACTATGAAAAAAAGTTAAGAAAAATCGCACGGGTAGCAGAATCTATTTCAATATTTCTTGATTTCTTAATTGTCCTACAGCTACAGGGCGACAGGCTAAAGGGCTTTATAGAGTAGCCCCAAAGAGAAAAAGAAGAAAAAATTGAAGAAGGGCTAATGGCGCGTGCTTCATTTTAAAGCTAACTTCAATGTTATTTACCCAAATAAATTGGCTTGCGATTTTAGACGGTGAGGATTTTAAATTTTATTTCCGAGGGAAAATAGACGGTGACGATTGGTTTCAGGTAAAAAGAGTACAGTTGTAATATTTTCAACATCGTGTAAAATTTCATTTTGATGAATATTAACCGTAACTTCATCTCGACCGCCCAAATATCCCCAAACCAACCGTGTTCGTTGTAGAGTTCATACTTTTTCTAATTTTCACTGAAATTATTAGACTTTTGAATTGTGGCGAAGAGTGCTGTTTGGTTCTCCAAAATTTTCCATACTAGACATGACCGTCTTCCATATTGTGTGTCAGGTCTTCACATTACTATGGTTTAGTTGGCTCGCGCCAGGTATTCACATTTTTACAAAATGGCATAAGACGTTCAAAATTTTTAATTTTTCTTTTTCAATTGAAAGCACGCATATACAAATGGTGTTTTTCTCTTTTCCTTCAACAACCAAACATAGTCGTACGTCCTATTTGCATTCCAACAGCTCACACTTAATCTAATTACATTAAGAAGCTCAAGAATTCCAACAAACATCATACTTTACAGAGCTAACACAAACACCAAATGCTACATTGCAAACTCACACATATCAGTTTACAAAAGAGGAGCTATTCACTTTGTCATTTTAGCATTTACAGCGGAAAAGTAGTACCAGTCCATCCTCCAAAAGAGAATCTCAACAGCCAGTGTGTTCCATTCCCTCCTCTTATTTTTGTTTATTTCTTAGCAACACGCTTTCTCTCCCCATATCATCACTACCCTCCAATTTTATCCCATTCCAAAACCATAAATGCCACTTTTGTCCTCCGACCGCCAGTTTTACTATCGCAGATTGGATTGCGGTCAGTTGGCTAAAATCATTGCTATGTGCTATAAATTTTACATATTAATCGGATGTTGTCATCAAGTGCATTGCTCCTACTTATTGGCTTTAGCATTTCTTATGTGTAACGATATTTGGAACTCCCGCCTCATGCTCAGACGGTTGGATTACCTTAATCGCAAGTGTGATATACTGTGTTACGGTCTCTTCATATTGAGAAGCCTTCAAATGGAGATACCAAAAGAGATTTTCGTTCTAAAAAACACAACGGCATAAACTGCTCAAGAAATGGTTTTGGTTAAAATGCCAACATGGAGCTAAATATGAAATCCAATTGTGGTTCAGCTGACAGCTTGATGACCACTGATTCATTATTATTGTTCCTGATCTGTTGCTCTGGTTTGGTAAATTTACTCTGTTTTTTTTTTTTTTGTTTGTTTGATTAGATGTGGCTTAGTGGCATGAATTTTCTTCTAACCTTGAGCTTGTTAAGTTGTAAGGCCTAAAAGCATGTTAGCTATAAACACGATTAGTAACTCCTCTTCCTGACTTGGGTGAAGGAAGATGATGAAGTGCAATGAACTACTTTGCAAATATGAAGATGTTGAAGTGTCCACTCTAATCTTAATATATAATGCGCTCCCTAATTTTATTTTTGGAGGGAAATTGTTGAATTTTGGAGAGAGATGATATCCAAGAGAGTAATTAGGACGGTGATATAATAAAGAGGGAAAAAAATAAAGGCTTCACTCCCACTACCCAATTCAATCCAAAATTTAACAGGATACAAATACACACCTCCTGTTGGTTAGAAATTATCATGATTTTCGATCCGTTCGAGAGGGTTCCGTCACCCAACTCCATAGTATCCGGCAGCAGCTTGCCTACACATCATCAGAATGATTCAAACAACTAAACACACTGGAGATTCAAAGAAATCCCTTTCAAACCCTAAAAAATTCAAAGAACTAAACACAATGGGAATTGAAAGAACTCCCTTCCAAACCCCATAAAACGAGAGAAAATCACTCAAGAAATGATTAAAATTAACCTCCGAAGAAAAGCTTTAGAATCGGCTGAAAGGTTTGTGAATTTTTGAACCGCGAGCTTCAAATCCTGGACGGTGGAGGGGAGCTCTTGCAAGAACACGCGATTGAATCCAAAAAATCGTATCTTTAATTCAATCTCTTCCATTTTGAAATCAAGAATAACCGTCGAACTAAAAATCACAACAACGATCGCAGTGGAAAACTATGAAAAAAAGTTAAGAAAAATCGCTTGGGTAGCAGAATCTATTTCAATATTTCTTGATTTCTTAATTGTCCTACAGCTACAGGGCGACAGGCTAAAGGGCTTTATAGAGTAGCCCCAAAGAGAAAAAGAAGAAAAAATTGAAGAAGGGCTAATGGCGCGTGCTTCATTTTAAAGCTAACTTCAATGTTATTTACCCAAATTAATTGGCTTGCGATTTTAGACGGTGAGGATTTTAAATTTTATTTCCGAGGAAAAATTGACGGTGACGATTGGTTTCAGGTAAAAAAGTACTGTTGTAATATTTTCAACATCGTGTAAAATTTCATTTCGATAAATATTAATCGTAACTTTATCTCAACCGCCCAAATATCCCCAAACCAACCGTGTTCGTTGTAGAGTTCATACTTTTTCTAATTTTCACTGAAATTATTAGACTTTTGAATTGTGGCGACGAGTGTTGTTAGGTTCTCCAAAATTTTCCATACTATACATGACCGTCTTCCATATTGTGTGTCAGGTCTTCACATTACTATGGTTTAGTTGGCTCGCGCCAGGTCTTCACATTTTTACAAAATGGCATAAGATGTTCAAAATTTTTAATTTTTCTTTTTCAATTGAAAGCACGCATATACAAATGGTGTTTTTCTCTTTTCCTTCAACAACCAAACATAGTCGTACGTCCTATTTGCATTCCAACAACTCACACTTAAACTAATTACATTAAGAAGCTCAAGAATTCCAACAAACATCATACTTTACAGAGCTAACACAAACACCAAATGCTACATTGCAAACTCACACATATCAGTTTACAAAAGAGGAGCTATTCACTTTGTCATTTTAGCATTTACAGCGGAAAAGTAGTACCAGTCCATCCTCCAAAAGAGAATCTCAACAGCCAGTGTGTTCCATTCCCTCCTCTTATTTTTGTTTATTTCTTAGCAACACGCTTTCTCTCCCCATATCATCACTACCCTCCAATTTTATCCCATTCCAAAACCATAAATGCCACTTTTGTCCTCCGACCACCAGTTTTACTATCGCAGATTGGATTGCGGTCAGTTGGCTAAAATCATTGCCATGCGCTATAAATTTTACATATTAATCGGATGTTGTCATCAAGTGCATTGCTCCTACTTATCGGCTCTAGCATTTCTTATGTGCAACGATATTTGGAACTCCCGCCTCATGCTCAGACGGTTGGATTACCTTAATCGCAAGTGTGATATACTGTGTTACGGTCTCTTCATATGGAGAAGCCTTCAAATGGAGATACCAAAATAGATTTTCGTTCTAAAAAACACAACGGCATAAACTGCTCAAGAAATGGTTTTGGTTAAAATGCCAACATGGAGCTAAATATGAAATCCAATTGTGGTTCAGTTGACAGCTTGATGACCACTGATTCATTATTATTGTTCCTGATCTGTTGCTCTGGTTTGGTAAATTTACTCTATTTTTTTTTTTTTGTTTGTTTGATTAGATGTGGCTTAGTGGCATGAATTTTCTTCTACCTTGAGCTTGTTAAGTTGTAAGGCCTAAAAGCATGTTAGCTATAAACACGATTAGTAACTCCTCTTCCTGACTTGGGTGAAGGAAGATGATGAAGTGCAATGAACTACTTTGCAAATATGAAGATGTTGAAGTGTCCACTCTAATCTTAATATATAATGCGCTCCCTAATTTTATTTTTGGAGGGAAATTGTTGAATTTTGGAGAGAGATGATATCCAAGAGAGTAATTAGGACGGTGATATAGTAAAGAGGGAAAAAAATAAAGGCTTCACTCCCACTACCCAATTCAATCCAAAATTTAACAGGATACAAATACACACCTCCTGTTGGTTAGAAATTATCATGATTTTCGATCCGTTCGAGAGGGTTCCGTCACCCAACTCGATAGTATCCGGCAGCAGCTTGCCTACACATCATCAGAATGATTCAAACAACTAAACACACTGGAGATTCAAAGAAATCCCTTTCAAACCCTAAAAAATTCAAAGAACTAAACACAATGGGAATTGAAAGAACTCCCTTCCAAACCCCATAAAACGAGAGAAAATCACTCAAGAAATGATTGAAATTAACCTCCGAAGAAAAGCTTTAGAAT